CGAGATCAGGGTGTTCAGTTTTTGCTAGTCCTCAGCTGCGGTACAGCAGATACCTGGCTTTGAAATAGGTTGAAGGCCGACATTTTTCATTGGCATCCTTTGGTTTCTTCTAAAATTATGCTTCTTCTCTGGATTCTTCTAATATCATAGTTCTTCCTACCTTTTTTTTTATCTTAGAAGAAACAAAAGAACCCCAATGAAACCAAACCACGCATCCAAATCTGAGAAGATACTTTATCAGATGCTATTACACCAAAGTGCAACATATATCCTATTTCTTTTTATACCAGTATGCACTGCTTACGAGATGGGGGGGGGGGAATAATATTGTGTCTGCTAGATTCATTTAGATGGCTAGTTCAGAGAGCCACTCCCTTTGTGACCATCTGCATTATTGTCCAATCTTTGGTGGCATTTTAAAGGGGGAACACATGGTGACTAATTCATCTGACTTGTATGTAATGTTGCAAGTATTATCAGGTTTTTGTTATAAAAAGTGGTCACTGGGGGTGGAATCAGAGGAGAAAACAGGTGATTTCTTTCTCTGGGTGTGGAACTTCTTCCATATTGAGATGATTGGAGGAAGGCAATGTATGTTTATGCGAATGTAAGTCCTTGGAGCATTCTCCTGCTTAACATTTCCACCCATCAGATCCACTTTTTTTGTTCTGCTTCCATACACCGATTTTCACAGCATTGCAGTCTACTTCCTGCTTGTGGAGTATTTATGACAACAATTATTAATAGCCTTCTGCACTTTGCTGGTCACATTGTCAATGCATGTCATAAATCATATGCTCTTACCTTCACATCAGCTGCCAAGCCTTGAGTCCCAGGAGACCAAACACTATTACTCACCTTTTCTTGCCATGCTAACTTTTGCTCAGCTGGTTCTTCCTGTTCCTATAAATCAGCCACTTGTTATCCAAAGATCAACTTCTTCTCCCCCTCCCCCTTTTTTGGTATTTTTCCCCAGCTGATCCTGGTATGACTAAAAGATACCTAGTGGAATTTAACTCCCCCTCATTCAGGTTTAAAAGAACTGTACTACGTGCCCTGACCTCTGCATCTGTAGTGACACATGCAGTCACTATGTATGTTGAGGGGGTCTGCCAACAGATATACATGCTTTCATTTGGTCTGCAAATGGAGGAAGCATTGCCTTTGTCTAAACTGCTCTGAGAAAATATTCAGAAGCAGGCTTTACCAACCTTCTCCAACCTGGTGCCCTCCATATGTTTTGGGCTACAACTCCCATCAGAATTGTTCTGGCTGAGGCTGATGAAAGCTTTAGTTCAAAACACCTGGATCTGCATGATTGTGTAACAGTTCTTGCCCAAAATCTAGCATATGTTAATATTCACATTTAAATGTTTATAATCTCAGACACATTTGGCAAGAGTAACTTTACTCTCTGGGGAAGGAGGGAGTGATTTATACAATTGCTGGGCTTAACTGCAAATACCTCTATAAGTTTGAATGCTCTTCTAGAAGTAGTGGTTATTTTACTAACAAATCTACACATGAGTCAGTCCTTTGATTTCAGTGGGACATGACGGTTATTGGTAGATGTATTTAGGCTTTTGGGCATCATTCTTGGAAGAGTGACTGAAAATGAGCAGGGAATGGTACAAAAACAGTGAGTCAACTCTACAGCTAATATGTATGCATAATATTTCTAGACCATGCATAATTAAAAGAAATCCCAGGGTGAGGTACTTAATATGACAACCAAACATAACAAAGAATTAAAAGTGATATAAAAAATCCAATATAACAGTACAACCCATCAACAAATGCAATAAACCAAAACATCAATGTGAGGAAGCTATTGCCCTCCATAAGTAAGCTAACCAAATGCCTGCATGAACAGATGTGGTGTGTTTTGGAAGAATTTACTTCTTTATAAGTTGGCCATGAGGATTTTATCAGCTATGGGTCAGAAACAGCCCAGAGCAAGTTTGTAGTAGTCAATGAAGGCCTGTAGTATTGACAAGTGAAAACAATCTAGTTCCTTGACCGTAACAAGTGAGCTTTAGTTTAGCACAGAATTGGCACCTTTAAGAACATTGTTTCGAATGAGTATCAGCACAACTAAACTCTGTATTGGATTGCAGCATTTGATACATTGGTCTCAATTACTGTAGCAGGTTTCAGTTGAAAGGAAAGCGTTTAGATCTAGGACATACACAATGCTTGTAAAACAACTGTAGTGGTTGCTGGGTCCCTTGCACACAAAGATTCATAGACCTAGCTAGAGTAATTTTTGGAAGGATGGTATATTGATTTGGCTTACTTGAAAATTTAAATGGCTGAAGTATATGCAAAAGACACAATCCAAACATTTGCTCCCTGCTGGCAGGGCTTCACAGAGTGGAGGCACCACTACCACATCTGTAGCCCCTGGAAGGGAGGGAGACGGAGATTGCTGTACCAGCCTGGAACTGGCGCAGCAATCAGGCCCCATGCCGCTGCATCACGACTGTGATACTGCCTTGGGATATGAGACTTGGCTTAGCTTCACTTTATCCCCATCTCCAGAATGCCCTTCTGAGGACCATTCATGGCACTCCCAGCGGTCCAGGCATTTGGCAGCCAGCAGGATGACAGCTTAGCTGGGCAAGCTAGGCAGAGGGACAGCTCTGCTCATTCAAACCCTCCCTGCCTCCAGCCTTGTGTAATGGACTTGTTCTGTAAAAATGGATAGGATAGGCACCGGACCATCTTTGCAGTGAGTGCTGAGAAAATAGCTGCCATGTGGCCTCTCATGAGTTTCTCCTCACCCCACCCCACCCCACACCTCACCAGAAGACCCTGCTTCTGGCATGTTGTAACCTGTTCTGAAGGGAAAGGAGGAAATCTGGTTGATAAGGAATGTTTGTCCACACTCTCCCTCCCAGCGGCTCCCCCCCGGGTGTGTGTCAGTGTTTCGGCAATTTATTTTAAATGCACAATTAGCCTTTTGACACACTAGTTCAAGCACGGAGGCTCGATGCACAACTGTATTAAAATGTAAATCGTAAAACAAATGCGTTTTTTAAAAGAGTGGTAAGACTAGGACAAGTGGCAAGACTTTTTTTTTAAAAAAGAAGAATTTAAATGCAACAGCAGTAGAAAAAGCTAAAAATAATTTAACCCAGAACCCCAAGAAGCCTGTGGAATAAAAAGGCCTTAGCAACTCTTCTGAAAATCTGAGAAGAACAAGCCCTGGCAGGTGGGATGGGGTCACTGAACCTATTGAGAAGGGTTTCATTCTTGCTTGTTTGAGACTTAGTAGCACAGAATAGTCTTCCCTCTTGATAACAAAGGGATTATTTTTGGTCAGTGATACATAAAGGTGTCCCCACCCCCACCCCGCCCCGCACCTGCCTGGCTTCATTCCTACTGCACCTTTAGAAATGAGATACAAAACAGAGAATGGGTGACTTCTCAGCCCTTATGCAGGATGACCTTGTAAGGATCACTAAGCAGCACATAGACAAAATGGTTCCGCAGCAGAAGTCTTTAATCCTACAGTCCATGTCTTCAACTCTTTGGCCATTGGGTCAGATTAGTAAAAGGCTTTATTTAGGGAAGGTAGCAGGGGCTCATTACTCCTGTTCAGTGTTTCAAACCACATGAGATTATTCCTAACAAACTTACAAGCAGAGGTTGTTAGGACTATAGAAAGTCCTCATTTAGGAAGGGCAGAGGTTGCCCACTTCAGTTGCTTCTCAGGGTCATCTAAGTACTAGGTGTGCATACCAAAGGCACTGCTCTGCTTTGCTTAAGCCAAGGATGGAGAACCTGTGGTCCTTGGGAGGTTGTTGGACTTTCAACTCCTATCAGCTGCCTCTACCAGCAAGGGCAATGATCAGGGATGGTGAATCCTTGTCCAACAGTGTCTGGAAAGCAACATGGTGGCTGTTCCTCCTCTATATCTGCCCCCCCCTTAATTGTGAATAAGTCCAAGTACAGGTATGAAACCTCATGGGAAACTTTGCCCCATCATTCCTCCTAACACTACTTCACTGAAATCTCCTTGCTTCCACTACTCTCAAATCTGAAACATGCTGAAGAAGCTTTACATTCTATTTCATCTCTTTTTCTGCCGTGTTAAATGAACCCTCCTAAATCCATCTTCTCTCATTTCCAAACAGGGGAATGACATGCAGGAAACAAATTCTTGTTTGGGGTTTTTATAAAAAGCAAAATATTTTTAATTGGCAAACATCCCTCTTGTTTACAACGTTTGTTGTCATTGACCTCGTGAAAGTTAGTTCTGACTTATGGCAATACCCAGGTAATTAAAATCCATATTGCAGTTTGAAAAGTAAGACTGAGCAACATATATATGTGTGTGTGTGTGTTTTAATATATCATTTTCAACAGTCATTCAACATAAGTTACATCTTATACAATTTTTTTGGACTTCTGTCAACCACATCTGAAAATTTTCCATTTTTCCACTTAATTTACATTTCTTAATTTCACTATTGCTATTAATTATCTTATATATTGACTCTCTCATCATAACCTTCCTTACAATATTTCATATATTCCTTCTTACAAAACTTCTTGTAGTCCTACTAGCGCAATCTGTTGATTACAGTTGCTTTTCAAATACGTAGTTGACGTATTTATTCCAGTCTTCTGAGAATATCTTGTCCCTCAGGTTTCTAATCCTTCTGTCATCTTGTCTAATTCTGCATAGTCCATTAATTTTGTCTGCCTTTCTTCTTTCATCGGTAATTCTTCTTGTTTCCATTTCTGTGCCAACAGTACAATTGCTGCTGTTGTTGCATATAAAAACAGTTTTTTGTCCTGTCTATTAATATCATCACTTACAATACCAAGTAAAAATGCTTCTAGTTTAAAAAAATGTATATTTCAACATTTTTTCATCTCATTATATATCATTTCCCAGAAGCTTTTTACTTTTTTACATTCCCACCACATGTGGTAAAAGGTTCCTTCTTTTTCTTTACATTTCCAACATTTATTATTTCTCTTATACATTTTAGCTAACTTCACTGGTGTAATATACCATCTACACATCATTTTCATCACATTTTCTTTTGGGCATTACATGCTGTAAATTTTATTCCTTCTTTCCACAATCTCTCCCAATCTTCTAACTGTATATTATATCCAAAATCTTTGGCCCAATGTATCATAACCAACTTTACTTCTTCATCTTTCAAATGCCATTCCAAAGTAGTTTATACATTTCAGACAATATTTTACAGTCATTGTTTCTAAGACTTAAAAGAAAATGGATTTGATGATAAAATTAGAAAGCTATTTCACACTCATAGCTTCTAATGGGAATAACCACCATGGTGTTTTACATTCTAATAGGTTTTTATACCTATCCCATGTTTCAAATAGAGATCTTTGGAATATATGGTTACCAAATCCTTTATGGACTTTTGATTTATTATACCATAAATATGCGTGCCAACCAAATCTATTATCATAACCCTCCAAATCCAGCAACTCTGTATCTTCTAACAACATCCATTCCTTTAACCAACAGAGGCATACTGCTTCATAATACAACTTCAAGTCTGGCAGGGCGAAGCCCCCTCTTTCTTTAACATCTGTTAACAACTTATATTGAATTCTTGATTTCTTCCCCTGCCAGATATATCTTAAAATTGTCTTCTGCCATTTCCTTTAAAATTGCTGCCCCCTTGATTATTGGAATTGATTGAAATAAAAATAACATCTTTGGTAGCACATTCATTTTAATCACAGAAATCCTTCCACAAAATGACAATTTCGTCCTCTCCCATACTTCCAGATCTCTTTTAATTCCATTCCACACCGGTGTATAATTATTTTGAAATAAGTCTATATTCTTTGATGTTAACCATATTCCTAAATATCTGACTTTTTAAACCACTTCTATACCGATCTGTTGCTGCAACATATCTACCAAATCTTGTTTCATATTTTTGGCTAACATTTTAGTCTTCTTTTTATTCAATTTAAAACCTGCTACTTGCCCAGATTGTTCTATCTCCTCAATAACCTCTTTGACACTGGTTAGTGGTTCCTCTAAAGTTAATACCAAGTCATCTACAAAGGCTTAAGACTGAGCAACATCTAATTACATTCACCAAGCTGCAATGAGTGGGCATAAAATGGATTGCACCACCCATAATGAAACATAGTATATGTGTTGCCTTCATAACGTATTGCAGGTCACCTTAGAGCACCTTGAATTTTCTAAACTTTAAGCAGAAATTTGATCAAGGCAGGCGATTCCTCTGCACACATGGCTTTTCTAAGTAAATGGAGAAGTCTTTGAAGGTGGGGGGGGGAGTGTCATGTGAGCACTGGAGCTCTCTTGCCTGAAAATAACTGGTGGGTCAGAACTAGCAGTTTGTCAAAAAATTCTCGAATTCTCCATCCATTAACTTGCATCCAAAAATTATCAAATGGGAAAGATAATTTCAGTGAAATTCTCATGGGTGGATGGTAGGCCTTCTGATGTACTTACCTTACATTTGAGGTGGTCAAAGGGTGTTTAGCCAACATTCCCCCACCCTCTTATTTCTCTACTCCCAATTAGACTTTGTGAACCCAGCCACAAGGTCATTTTAGGAAACTAACAGTAGATTATTTCTCTATCACCAGCACAGGTATTGAATTTTTAGTTGTACAGTACAGAAATAATTAAAGCTACCACCAGTTTTGAATAATAAATGCTTTGTGGTGTTTATACTGAAAAAATGAGCTTTGGAACTGACTAGATTTCCAATTTACTTTGAGTGTTCAGGATTTTGAGCTGCAGGTCCTTATTGATGGAGAGAGTTTTAGATTTTTGTTGCTACTTTTATTGCTAGCTATCATGCACACACTCAGAGTAATTGATGGTCACTCAGTCGCTCATTGCAAGTGATTTGTTTCAGTCAAAGAGACCCTTGTTTTGGAGAAGATCTATATGGGATAAACACATGCCACTTGCTGTCGATTCCTCCAGCGTTTGATGATACAGAAGGAGGGTGCTAATTTGCAAATCTCCTCTCGAAAGTCTCCCCCAGCCAGGAAACAGAAGAGAGGGTTGACGCAGGTGTTCAGGCTGCAGATAGCCATCTCCACAAGGAACAAGGTGTCGGCATGCTGAATAGACTGGGTTGCAGAAGGCCGTACAGCTCTCAGTAAGATGCAAGTGTTTCGTGAGACATGGTAGGGGAAGTAGAGAAGAGCAAAAACGACCAAGGCTGAATACATGAGCTTGGTGAGTTTCTCCCTTTTCTGAAAGCGCTGGAGGCCAGTATCTTGGAGTTTCCTAACGCTGCTGCAATAGCAGTAACAAATAGCAGTGAAAGGAAGTAAGCACCCTGCAACTGAGCAGCTCACAGACAGGGGGAGGGTTATATAGGTAGAGCTGGAAAATACATAGAGGGAGCAAATTGTTTTGTTGTTTGGGCATGCCTGGGTGCCTGCAACATAAACAACTGGCAGGCTAACCAGTCCTGTAACTGTCCAGATGGAAGAAGAAATCAGCAGGGAGTGTTGTTTGTTTAATACCCACAGGGACTTCAGAGGGTGGACAATGGCCAAGTACCTGTCCATGCCCAGGCAGGTGACAAAATGGATGCTGCAGTAATAGCACAGGTGATAGGCAGTCCGTATAATCTTGCAGAAGCTCTCTCCAAAGGTCCAGTGCAGCTGGTTTAGGTGATAGTAGATCAGGAAGGGAAGGGTTAAGATCCACATGATATCAGCAAACACCAAGTTGCAGAGGAAAACGGTGCTCCTGTTCCAGCGCTTCATGCGGAAAGCAAGGATCCAAATGATGGGGACGTTGAGCAGCAATCCCGCAACCAGGATGAAAAGGAAGGTTCCAGGGATTAGAGTCCTTTGGATGGTGTCTAAGAGGGTGTCAGTACTTCCACAAAAGTCTGCTTCTGGTTTCTGCCAAAAGTAAACATGGGGAAAATGACTCCCATTTTGCTCAGAAGAATCTCTCAGTATTGTAAGAGGAAAATGGCTACAGTCCTAACTACCTTACTAGGGACTTAAAAACATTTAAGCAAGCACTGTATTAGGCACTCATTTTCATCAGTTGTTGAATGTACCACCAGTTGCCAATTTGCATGTGTGAATGAGTTTTCACAGATCAAAATTTTGCATTACTTAATTCCAGAGGGGTAGCTGTGCTAAGTCTCTGACAGCAAAAGCAACCAAGAATCTCGTGGCACCTTAAAGATTAACAAATCTACTATGGCTTTCATAGACTTAAGATGCAGCTGACAGTCTTGAGTCCATGAAAGTTTATGCTACAACAATTATGCTAATCTTTCAGATGCCACAAGATTCTTTGTCATATTACTCAGTAAGTCACATTAAAAAAATAATAATTCAGTGACGTTTACACATCCAAGTACCAGTTATCAAGTGTTGAGTAATCAAGCGTAATGAAGCGATGTACGTGCAAGTAAGTGTAAATCAGCTAATGTCTAGGAAATTGAATGTGAAGCTGGAAGATCAAGGAGATGCAGTCTGTGAAATAAGCAGCATCAATCCACAGCATAGAAAACACTACAAATAATGACAGTGTTTATAAATTTCTCATCGCTGATCGTTCTCCCTGGGCTAGAAATTATGATCAAACATAGTTATAATCAATAACGTAAGTCTCAGAAATCTCTGTTATTCTAAGAACTACAACACCAAGTCCAGCAAAACAACAACACTAAAAATAGTCTTACCTGGCTAGATGTCTGTTCCATAATCCTTACATGTATTATGCTGATTTCATAATGCTCTCTGTACCGTTAATTATTCATTTACCAGAATGATTGGCCAACTTCCTGAAATGACAGGTGTGCAAGGGATGTTGCTGCTGTTATAGCTCTATGCCTGGGTAGGAGCAGACGAGAGACAGGAGGGGAGTATTTGATTATGCAGTGTGCAAATTTAAAGCTGTTTTGCTTTCCCAAAGGTAGCGAATCTCATATACTGGGGAGTTGGGACTTCTCTGGATTTCTTCAGCTTCTTGACTGATGCAGAAAAAATATCAAAGGAAGAAAGAAGAGGTGGGAAGGGAGCATTTTAAAACAATAAACCAGTTGCACATTCTGGTTCTCCTTTTAAATACTTATATGGTTGGCTACTTTCTCATGTATTACAGTAGCCAATACTGTTTTTTTTGTTTTTTATTAATTTATATTAGCTCTTTTGAAAGAACAGGTATATTTAGCATAATAATATAGGATTCCATTATGTGTTATTTATATTTGGAATGGGACTTTAAAAATAAATAAATCATCATTTATTTATTTATTCATTTCATTTATCTCCTGCCTTCCAAGGAGCTCCAATACATGGTTCCCCCATTTTTCATCTTCACAACTCTGGGAGGTAGGTCAGTCTGAGAGATAATGACTGGCCCAAGGTTATCCAGTTAATTTCATGGCTGAGCAGGGATTTGAACCTGGGTCTTTCAAGTCTTAGTCCAAAATTTGAATCGCTACATCCACTGACTCCTGGATTCCATCTCTTCATCACCGTCTTGGTATTGTAAGGTAAAGGTACCCCTGACCATTAGGTCCAGTCGTGGCCGACTCTGGGGTTGCGGCGCTTATCTCGCTTTACTGGCCAAGGGAGCCAGCGTACAGCTTCTGGGTTATGTGGCCAACATGACTAAGCCGCACCTGGTGATTCAGAGCAGCACACGGAAACGCCGTTTACCTTCCCACCGCAGTGGTACCTATTTATCTACTTGCACTTTGACATGCTTTCGAACTGCTAGGTTGGCAGGAGCAGGGACTGAGCAATGGGCGCTCACCCCGTCGTGGGGATTCGAACTGCCGACCTTCTGATCGGCAAGCCCTAGGCTCTGTGGTTTAACCGACAGTGCCACCCGCGTCCCTCTTGGTATTGTACTGTACCATAATTGTACTAAACCCAGAATGGAGCTATGCAGAGAGGCAGTTTTGTTCTCAGAGGCTCTCACCAAGTTTATGAGACCAAGTAAATGGCGTTCAACCTGGGATACAGGTGAGGACCAAACCAACCTCGTGCCTCTTTGCTGTGATTGAGGAACAGAGGCAGGATTGCTCCTGGCTCTAATAGTGTTCCTATGTGGGTACCATAGAAAGTTGCCATTCACTCCAATGGAGACAAGTCCCTGCTGTTATACAGGTACAACCTGAGCTGCCCCCAACAGGAGTCCCACTGAAAGTGAAATACATAGACTGCAAAGAAATATACTGTGGTTTCCCAAATACATCTTCAGCACATAGTCCCATTCTCTCTCTCTTAGTCGCTATTACAGGGATACTGACTTCCACTAGTTACTGAATATTCAAGTTCCTGTGTCTGATTAATTCTTCCCTTGCTGACATGGAACACTGCTGGCCTGAATGTCACAAGGTGTCAGCAGCGTCCCATTGCTGACAGAGGGGGAGAGCTTGGAGAGACAGGAGGTAATTAGGCAGGAATACGGAACAAGGGAGGAGCAGCCAAGTTGCAGTAGATGCCTGAGTTCTGAGAACAAGGGGAAGGAAGGGGGGAGGTTCCAGGGAAAAGACACAGACTGACAGTTTAAGCTTGGACTCAGAGGGAGGGCCACCGAAAATAGTCTATCTCAAGACGCGTAGGCTCGCAAGAATTAATGAGAGGCATGAACAGGAAAGGAAGTGTAAGTGGGGCTTTTAAAAGTGGGAAGAGGAAGGGGCGGAACTCAGACTCGGCAACAGCTAATTTGGAAGCAGAAGCTGAGTGACTGAGCTCCAGAGTGATTTGTGTGTTTTGAGCAATAAACCTAAGTTAATTGCTGCCGGAGTTGCCTCGCTTCTGTGGGAGAGACCCAACCATTACACAAAGAACTACATCACTTTTGGTTTGCTTTCCCTCTTCCCCTGCTTTTTCACATTGCCCACAAACATATCTCGTCATAGTGGCATCACAGGGGGACCAGCGTGCGCTAATGGTTTTTGCAAAAGGGGAACATGTGTAAGGTGGAACACCGAGACCAAAAGTGGGTGTTTTGTTTGAAAAGCACGACGGCTTTTAATAATTTCCAAGTGATGTTGGCAGACTAGGTTGTGTCCACATAGGATAACAAATCTGCTGTTTTACTCATGAACGGGCAACAACAAAACATGTGCCTCTGAAAGAATATATTGTGCAGTGATGGAAAGCACACAGTACCAGTTTCCTTGTTCTATTGAAAGTTCCAACAAGTGGGGTGTTTTGCTTTGTTTAATTTAGTTGCATGACAGCTGCCTGCCTACACAGCTGAACTAAATGAGGTGAAAGGAATTAGTGATTTCCACCACTCCTCCACATGCATGTTCATTTCATGGAAATTTGTGATACACAGTTCTCCATGCCATGCTTGATACAGTGCAGTAAATAATTAAAAAACCCTCTTGCCTTATGGGTTGTTTAGGATAAATGCCTTTGTGCCTGTGCATGATGCAACCAAAATTTATAACTCTGTATTGAGTCCTCTCTCCCACCCCCCACAATCAATGGTACTGGTAAGTAATGGGACTTAATAGTCCTATATCCCCATTTGTGTGTGTGCGCGCATGTAATTTTTATTAAATCTTCTATTTTACAATTTAAAATATCCATTAAACAACCTTAAAATGTCAGTGACTTCCCTTCTTCTCTTTCCATGGTTCAGTTTGCATATCATAAATCCCTGCATATTTTACATAAACTAAACTATTCAGTATTCCATGAATACGTATATCAAAACTTGTTTACACTGTTGAATTTATCTTAAAGCTCCCAACATTTTCAAGTGAAGAGTTTGCTCCCATATATACATTTCCCAATCTTCTTTAAACGTATGTTCTTCTTGTTCTCTTATTCTATATGTTAGATCAGCAAACTGCACATATTCCATCAGTTTAAACTGCCATTTTTCTTTAGTTGGGACCTCGCTCGTTTTCCATTTTGGGGCTAACAAAACATGGGCCACAGTACAATGGTACATCGGGTTACATATGCTTCAGGTTACAGACTCCACTAACCCATAAATAGCCTTTTTTGACACATTGGAATTTCCATCTGAATTATCCTCAACAAAAAGGACAAAAAGGCAAGTACTTTTCAACATTTTTTTCAATTCATTATAAATTATTTCCCAATACTCTTTTACCCTTTTACCCGCCCACCACATATGAAAGAACGTACCCTCAACCTCATTGCATCTCCAACACTTATCTGATTCAGTCTTATACATCTTAGCAAGTCTAAAGGTAAAGGGACCCCTGACCATTAAGTCCAGTCATGGCCGACTCTGGGGTTGCGGCACTCATCTCACTTTATTGGCCGAGGGAGCCGGCGTACAGCTTCCGGGTCACGTGGCCAGCATGACTAAGCCGCTTCTGGCAAACCTCAGAGTTAAATACCATCTGTAAATCATTTTCAAATAATTCTCCTTCAATAACATGCTGTAAACTTCAGATCGTTCAGTTCCCTTCCCCCCTTTAAATAATGATGTGCATTACTTCATTCACTTCAACATGTGGTAGGACAGCCTTGCTGCATTTAGGGGCCCTCCTGCTCATGCTCCTGAGAGGAGCCCTGGCCATCTGCCCCAAAGTCCTGCCCTGACACACACAAAAAGAAAGGCCTTCTTCACACAGCATGTAAACTATGGAATTTTCTCCAACAAGAAGTAGCAGTGGCCAACAACTTGGAGGGCTTCAAAATAAGTGTAGACAAATTCATGGAGGATAAGGCTATCAATGGTCATGTCTATCTCCCCTATCAGAGGCTGTATGATTTTGAGTGCCAGTTGCTAGGACTCACAACCGGGGAGTGTTTTTCAGAGCTCTTGTCCTGCTCGCAGGCTTCTCAGAAGCCATCTGTTTGGCCATTGCGAGAAAAGATGCAAATCTGGTTCTTTATCCACTATGTCACCTTCTTACTCGCCTTGACCCAATGGCGCTGACTCTATTTAGAGTCAGATGCCATATTTTCCACTACAATTTTATTTCAACCACTATCCCTATAGTTATCATGGCCTTCATCAAAGGCTCCTGAGCTTGGTGATATTGAGAAATTGCCATTCGAGATCCCCATAGCTCGTAGTTCCTGAAGCTTTCTGAGGGCCAAACTGTCAATGTCCCCCCCCTGCCCTGAAATCTAGGCATGTGGAGCTACAAATCAACTAAGACCAGCAAGGTGGAGGGTAAAGGTAAAAGGACCCCTGACCATTAGGTCCAGTCGTGACCAACTCTGGGGTTGCGACGCTCATCTCGCTTTATTGGCCAAGGGAGCCGGTGTACAGCTTCTGGGTCATGTGGCCAGCATGACAAAGCCACTTCTGGCGAACCAGAGCAGTGCACGGAAACGCCGTTTACCTTCCCGCCAGAGCGGTACCTATTTATCTACTTGAACTTTGACGTGCTTTCGAACTGCTAGGTTGGCAGGAGCAGGGACCGAGCAACGGGAGCTCACCCCATCACAGGGATTTGAACTGTCAACCTTCTGATCGACAAGTCCTAGGCCAGGGGTCTGCAACCCGCGGCTCCGGAGCCGCATGTGGCTCTTTTACACCTTTGTCGCGGCTCTGGGGCGGATACTAGCGAGGGGAGGAGGCGCATTGTGCGCCCCGACACTCCCCACTGTGGCGGGCGCTGTACTGGCTGTGACGTCACATGGGGGTGGTGCGTGCGTTAGTCACGCACCGTCCCAACGTCACCTTCCCGGTTTTGCAGCTCCCAGTTTTTTTTTCTTCGGAAACGGGTCCAAGTGGCTCTTTTTGTCTTAAAGGTTGCAGACCCCTGTCCTAGGCTCTGTGGTTTAACCCACAGCGCCACCTGCGTCCCTAAGGTGGAGGGTGGGAGGTTACAAATCAACTAAGAGCAGTAACTTTTCCCTTGGACTACCTTCCCAATCAAAATCACTCCTCCAAATGTTCTCCTGCCTATTGACCAAATAAAACATTTGGCAGTGCCAGTTCTAAATTTTGGGGGTCCTTGGGTAAATGATCTCAGTGGGCCTCCCTTTCTGAGGGGGCTCATTGCCTCCTCCTCCTCCTCCTCATTGTTGCCATTGTCTATTCACTTGTTTTTTTGCTCCATCACATCAGAGAGAAAGAGAGATGGGGGACAAGGTCTGCAGTGAACAGGTAAGAACTGCTAGGAAGAACAGCAGTACAGCCAGGAGGCTCCATGGATTTTAGGCATAGGTCAGCAGCACAAACAGTAAATCACTTGAGGCCAGTGAAGTAAAATCTTTATTCCAGGAAACAAACCACAGTTCTGCTTCTTTCTCAGCTATGTGAAGACTATGGACATGGTCCCATGAAACAAACCATATGTGATGCTCTTAATGCTTTCAAAAATCAGCCACTTTGGAAAAATAAAACCTCTTGGAAAAATAAAAATAAAACAGTGAGACCACAAGGTAGCTTGTGTTCCCATGAGAATTTCCAGCTGAAAATCACCTTTCCCTGGCTGCTATTGGCTTCAAATCTGCTTGCTGCAGTAAACTGCAGATTTGAGGGCAAAGAGCAGCATATGCTCAGGTTTTATCTTTCACATCTGGAAATAAATCCATCTGTTGCTTCCAGTGGGCTTGATCCTGGAAAAAATAGCTGAGTATTATTAAGCAGATTTTTAAAAATGTGAAGGACATACCCCAAGATCCGCCCCCCGCTGTAAACACACACCTGCCCATTTTTATAACACTGAAAGGTTTACATAGCACAGGAATACTATGTTCATTGTTCTTATTCTCTGATCTTCTTAGCTAATGCTATACACAGAGAGCCTGCAATGCAGATAGCAACACTTGAAACCAACACTGGGTAGCTAAAGCACTACAGTGTTTATTGATCTTTTCCCTAATGGGCCAATATCAAATGTTTATTCAAAGGCTACTGATAAAAGCCTAAAACGGTGGAAACACAGCACAGGGCTATCTCTTGTTCATCATGTTTTCCTTGTTAATGCTACCCTAATGGGGTACTCTTAATTCATTTCCAACAGAACTGCGTAAAAACAGTCAGTTCTTATTTAAAGACTATCCTCCCAGAACATTCTCCCTGCTTGGTGTAGCTCAGCACAGCAGAGTGATTCATCGGCAAAGGCTAATGCAATGAGAGCTAAGTGGGAATTTATTTTTTTAAAGAAAAAAATCTTATTTTGAGGATGTTCAACCCAAGGCTCTGTTGCCAATAGCAAGGGGTATATGGCTGTACTCTATCCATTTAGAAAAGGCCATAATGGCAGAGTTCTAGGGATCTCACAATATTACAGTGGTGCTTCAGGTTACAGATGCTTCAGGTTACAGACTCCGCTAACCCAGAAATAGTACCTCGGGTTAAGAACTTTGCTTCAGGATGAGAACAGAAATTGTGTGGCAGCAGTGGGAGGCCCCATTAGCTAAAGTGGTACCTCAGGTTAAGAACAGTTTCAGGTTACGGAATGAATTAAGTATGTAACCAGAGGTACCACTGTGCTGCGAGGTACTCAAAATACCGTAAGCCAAACATACCCAACTATTTATTGAAGAAATGCTTTATGAGCTTGTTAATTTTTATAAGAGACAGTATACTTGCTTTGAAAAAAGGTGCAATACTTCTAGAGACATGAACCAGAGAAGTGTTTCTTGGAATTTTACTCATTGCACTGAGATTAAGTAGCAACAAGAGATCCTTCAGGGACCTGATGCTGTTTTTTCTTAGTCAGACTTCCATCTGTCTCTCACCCTCTTTCTCATGTACACACATAACCAGCAGCACTCATATGTGGAAGTAGTAAGCACTAGAGGTGTGTAGCAGACTCAGATAGATCCCAAAGTCAAAACTCGGTGCTTTGGAGAGGTTCTTTGGAGGGATCAGAGGTACCCTGAACCAAAGAGGTGATTGCCACTCAGTGCCTCATGCCACCTCAGTGATAGACTTTAGAAAAATGCTGTAGACACCTGTCTGCTGCAAGCTAAATGGGTTGGGATACAGAAGAGAAAACGCTAGAGTGCAGAGAGGGTGGAACTTTGTTGTGACTGACATGCTGAGATTTTAATCATAGGGTTTTATTTTACCCAAACTCTCCAGCATCAGTATTTTGGGGGAGGAATGTTTAAGGAAATCAATAGTCTTTGTTTCAAGTGCTTCTTGCTCTTTCTCAAGTTCTGTCTCGGAGGACCAGGAACATTATTAAAGGTGTGGTGGTGGTGCAGTTAGGTTTGCTGCAGCTGTATACAGCAAACACATTCAGAGCAGCATTCCTGAGCACTCAGAGGGCATGTGCCGAGGGACAGTGGCCGATAGGGCTTTCTAGAGTTAAGAATCCTTTGTGGGCAACTGTGAAGTCCCTTGAAGAAAAACACCATATAAGACTTCCTGAACTCCCCTGTGATGGCAAGACAATTCAAATGCCTTACCTATTCCTAGGAGAAGTCATCACCATTCTTTATCATGGATGAGGTAAGTTGTGACAGACAGCCTCTGGGATTCCGGAAAAGAACAGTGGGAGCGAACAGGTAACAAGCATATATGCATTAAGATACCTATGATCTTGTTTTGTTTTCTAATTCTTATTTGTGGAATCTGCCAGTATACAGTGATAAAGTTTATGACAGAAATGAAACCAGGAAATGAAAATGTGAAAATTCCTGATTACAGACATTCTACAATGAACCTTGCTTGTAAAGGCAATAAAATGAAATACAACATAGAGATAATCTGGTCCAGGAATTGCGTATTAAAGAATAAAAACAGAATCAACCTCTGCACCATATAAAAATTCAGTGTTTTGCTGTAAATGCGATTTGCAGTTCTCGTTAAACACAATGTACTTAATCTCTTTCTCTAATTGAAGGACCATTACTTTAATTCATCTAATATTGATTCAACATCTTTTAAACTACATCAACTTCACCTACAGGTCCTGTATAAGTCTTTGATCGAATTTCATTAGCATATATTTAAAGTAACATCCATGTTGTGCAATTCATTTAGATCATTTCTTATATTCCTTGAATCATGGGGAAATGGAAGGCTTAAAAAAAAAAAGCTTGCCTTGATGATCTTAACAATAAACTGAAATCCACACAGGCCTAATACTACTTTCTTTGTAGGTTTTCAGCCCTTAAAGTGCTACATTGTTGATTTTTGTTCTTTTTCTGATGCATATAGATTCTGAAATACTAGCACAGCATCTGCCATTTCTCAAAGGTACTACAGGTAAGCTGCAAGTGGCAATTTCTCCCTTCCAGCTCACTCTGCCTTTTATTCCAGACACAGGGCTGTCATTCAGTTATGGTTCCTCAGTAGAACAGAGTGTCCTTTCTCCATTTTCCTTCCTCCTTCTCTCTGGCATTAACTGATTTCCCCGGCTCTTTAAATGGAAGCTGATGCTGGAGAGAACAATGAAAGAAAACCACCTGAGTACACTGTGATGCGGTAACCCTGTGCTACCACAAGTAGAAGTAAGGCAATTTGCTGTTATGAAGGTGAACTGCAGAGGCCACAATGCCTGTATTATAGGGCAAGGTTTGGGATGGAAGGGGAATCTCTGGGCATGGTGCCCATAGTAGGTTTTGGGAAAGGAGTTGAAGGAAACTTATTTCCTACATGGTGCTGTAAATATATTAATTGGCATAAAATATAGAGAAGTCAATTGTCAGCCTTTATACAGCTTTGGTTCCTGTATAGGACACACTTCTTTCCTTTGATGAAGACAAGTTTCCCCCATTTCTGGACTGGTGTGGAATTCAGTTTCATCTACCCTTTGAGACAAGGCATTGCAGTGCCTAACTTCCATCTCCCAATATTCCAACCCCCACAGCAGTAATAATAGTCTTGCATGCAACACAGCTGATAGGGTAAACTGCACAGAACTATGGATGTAAACAAAACCGTTTATTAACAGTCAACTTTTCACAGAATCAGTTGAATACATGTAACAATGTATTTACAAAACAAGCAACACACTATTTGCAGACACCTTTTAAATGCCATCATCAATTAGCTGATTTTTTTTTAAGATCCCAGTATTGCACATATCAGCTTGATGATCAACAGTCTAACCATAGATATCAGTTTATGAGACACAATTTGAATAAGCTTAGACTACCAGGCAAACATCCCAGATCCCCAAATTTAGCTTAGAATTGGCAACATCAACAAATTGCACTGAAAGCCCAATAAAAACCATCTAGTAAAGGTTCACTTAGAAACTTAGAGCAGACTAATTCTTTGTAATAAGCAAAGTGGGGGGGGGGGTCCCTGATCACAGTCAACCACCAGCACTGAAAATCCTCTCATCACAAACAATAAGTGTGAAAGGATGTGGTACTCTTCATTTCACCCAATTTTGACTTGTTATGGGAGGCATGCTGATATGCCTATTGCACTACCAGAGCCTTGATGGGTTAAAAAACAGAGTTAGATCTCTGCTCTGCTAAGTTAAGGTTGGTATGTATTATAGCATAACTGACTGCTTGATTCAGTGTTTGCAGATGTGTCTGTTTGGAATGGGACCATTGTCCACAAAAGGATACTGCATTAAGCAGAACACTCTCTACAGAGTTGTGGTTAGTGATTTGGGACTGTACTGCGTAAGACAAAAATGAAGCAAGTTCAATACCAATTACTTGTTTAGGAGTGTGGGAGAACTGAATCTCAAATTTTTCACCTTTCTAACCTCCTCCGGAAAGCACCAACTATTCAGAGGATGCAGGCAGGCCGATGCTCTTACACTCAAGCTTGAATTCAACCCAGTGATGTGCATATCTGGAGTGGGGCTCAAGGCTGCAATTCTGTATGCATTTCTTAAAAGAGAGATTTTTTTTTAATTGAAATCAAAGGGACTTACTTCTGAGTACAGAACTGCACAGCACAGAATCGGGAAAGAAACTTGAATGTTTGTTGTCACAAGAAAATTTAAAGCAATTTATAAAATCACAACTTCTACTTTAAAAGCAAAAATAAAAGTTTGTAGTCCTTAAAGGCATCACAGGACATTTATATACCATGATTCAGTATGCATAAACCAACAATTTACAAATATTATCATTGGATTCATCCACCAGTATACACAAGACGGCATATAATCCATATGCAACAGAAGACTAGCGCTCACACAATGATAAGACAGGGATACGGAAAAGTTTTTTTTAAAAAAATTACACAGGTAAACAGATGCACAATACATGATGCACAATTCAAAAACTCTAAGACAGGAGTGTTATGCACAATTCAAAAACTCAGACGGGGTAGTGCTAGACCACTTACAGTTCTCTGTCAGAAGCAGGGGCATATAGGCAAACATGCACAACACCATTCCTTAGTAAGTGTTGTTACAAGGCACAAGGGTCCAGTGCTTGCATATGAATTAACTGAAAATCTAACACCACAGCAGTACTTGGTAACTTGGCTCTTTCAGTGGACTAGTATAAAAATATCTTTCTAGAAAAGGTTGCTAGAAAGCAAAAAGCACTGCTGCCACCCAGACCACAACTGATATAATTCTCCTTGAGTGAGAGCTCAGTTTGTACAAGTTTAACAAACTGTGACTCAAAATGTATCATGCATGGGCACTTAAAGCTGCAGTCCTGTGCATATTTTTAAGAATAAGTCCCACTGAGCCAAATGAGGTTTCCTTACAGATTGAGCTAAGCACAAAAAGGCTTTATCTACATATTTTTGCCATAGCCTAGAAATTAAAATGTCTGGAATTTAATCCAAGAATACTAAAACAATACTTGGAATTGGTTAAAAGGGAATTACATATAAATACAGAACAGAGGATGCCATCCCAATGTTCCAGATTTACAAATAAAACCTTCCATGGGTACAGTTGCCCACCAGGGGCTTAAAATATCTTGTGTTTTTGCTCCCTGCCAGGGACTACAAAATCATAGACTCAATGCAGTTGTAAAGATGGCTGGTCGCCTGTGTACCAGAAGTTGCCAGAAGTTCTGTTCTGTTGATATCCTTGCACACATTCAGGGCTTGCACCACAGCCTCCTCAAATGACAGGTCAGAGTTACATAAGTAAACATGCCACTTCTTAAAAATTTAACCCCTCTCATTGCTCTGGCTGCAATAATTATGGGTAGGGTGCATAAAAACAGCAGACAAAGCTGTTTGTGCAATCTTCATCTCAACTGGACTTGACAAAACGCAACCCAAGGTACTGTGCAACTACAGCCACTTATTTCATTTACATCTGTGCCAAGTCACTCTGCAGCTGAGTGTTCATTTTTTTAAAAAAAATATTGATTCTACACAATTTAAAATAACTAGTGTGGCAAGCTAAAAAAACACACATTTAATTTGTTAATACATTTAAGTTTGACACGGATGGCATTTTTTGTCAAGCAGAACTGTGATTTGTTGGACTTGATTTGCACTGTTTGCTGCCTGTTTCACAACCACTGCAGTTCATTATATACTAACACAAACATATTTTAAATAAGAAACTATCACAAATCCCCCATTTATATTTACAAGAACACTTATAAATAAGCAGCAGAGTGTTTATGCTCAAACGATGAGAAAGTGTTTTTGGCTAAATATGTAGATTTTTTTTGGTGACTGCAATGTATCTTTGGCATATCTAATATACACTATATAATATTATTTGTCTTAACTGTACATCACTTCAGGGTGGGGGGTGACAGTATCTTAGCAGACTGAGCACATCACAAATAGAAAGAAACCAAAATTGTAAGCCAGACCGTTTCAAGATGTCAGAAAGGTTTTGATTCAAAATTTGAGGAGGATGCTAAATTCAGTCTGGTGCTGAATACTTTTTGTCACACTGCTCCCCAAACTCTCTTCAAAACCCCATAGGTTATGCACAGGCCCTTATAATATATGCACAAAGCAGAGCATGGGTAGTAGGGCAATGGTGACCAAAACCCTGTCTCTGAGCATGGAAACCTTTGAAATTAGGTTCAATAAATAGAAATTGGGCTAACAACTTACATTCTTCAGACAGCACCCTTGGCACCTTGGTTTTTCCTGCAGACCTCTCTGCTGGAACAGCCCATTAAATATGGGGTGATTTGCTTTGTATCTGTGCATTTTTAAAACTTACATTCTGCTTCTAAGTCATTCTGTGCTCTGTTTGCTTCAATCTGTTTCTTTCGGTTCAGAGCTGCTCTGTATAAAATGAAGCTGTGTGCTCCCCATTTACTATAATGGGGAATCTAAAATGAATCTAAAAACCTTCCTCCCACCTTTGGCCAAAATGGATGAAATTTACATGCCCAGGAGCTCCATCAGAGAGATTAAATCTGCCAAATTGCAGACAAAGAGGTCCAGGGACTTTTATTGTGGGAGAATTAAAGGACTTCACTTTCCTCCATAATGTTCTACTGGAGGGGGGCAGGGAAATGGGAGTTTGTCTCTTTCTTACCATAAAACAATTAAGTGATAGCCAAGTGGTGCATATTCTTTCCTGAACATTATTTTAACATTTGCAGCTTCACAACAGCTTTTCTTTCTGGCTGAGCAAAGAAGACAATTGAGGAGCAAAGTGGCTGCAAATTCCTCTTTGGGGGTCTGCATAGTTTTGGCTTACTGTGTTATGCAAACCATGCTATTATAAATGCAAACATTGAATTATACAGCACAGAAAAGCAAAGAAACAGAGCAACAGAACCCCAGGAGAGGGCCCTATCTGATTTGGGGGAAGTTACTGATATCATGTGTCAATGAAAAAAGGAGGAAACCCCCAAACCCTGCAATTCTCATTGTTCTCTTCCTGGAGCCATTGCACACCCCTAGTATCTGCATAACTTTCTTGTTTGTTACCCAATATCTATATAAGTTTCTTATTTGCTATAAGCACCATTCTTTTCTTGTTTTGTTTTTTTTCGAGACAGATACTATGAATCTAATCTGGGCATTTTGCCCATTAATCTAGCGCTTTTCTTTGCCAAGGATATGAGTACTGTTCCTTCAATGATTGGGATCTTTTACCATAGTGTTTCTAAGTAGATAATTTGCTTTTTTGCCATAAGAAATGAAACCAAAGCACACAAATGTATAAAACAGCATAATCTTTAGCTCACATGCTAGACACAGCCTGGGATATTTGTTCCAATACTTAACAGTCAAGCATAAGCTTCAAAGTGCAAGTACATTATGTCCAACATGCTTCATGTTTAGTGAATTCAGAATTCAGCAAGTGTTTGTTTCTCAAGGTTCGTATTGCATTGAGCAAAACACCTTGGAAGTCTGCAAAACTTGCTCCTGACCAGCTACTAATGCACAAGACTGAGTTTGAAAGCTGATACTTTCATAATACCTGTGAATTCACTGATAAGATACATTATGCTACATAATTTACACTACTAGCATTTTCACATCTTTTTTTCCTTCACAAGTGCATGTAAATAAGGCACTATGCAGTGTGGGGCAAACTCGGGGATATAAAAATGTAGCAAAACTTCAAAAATACTTGTAAGAACTTAAAATTATATAACAAAACACTGCCTGTAACACCTTCTAGCTAAGTCTACATGCACAGTTTACACTAAATAAACTTTATAAATTTGCAAAACTGTCTCAAGACACACAAAAAAGGAACTGTTTCTCTTCTTAGCAACATTTTAAAAAAACCATTATTTCTAAGCATTGTGGATTTGGCTACATTAATGTACATAACCTTTCATTCATTAAATATTATGAATAGATATTCTGTACAAACACAGAGATCTAGTATTAAGGCATATTCACAACAAATGGCTTTGTTTACAATTTATCCCTGTAGATAATTTACTCAGGGGTTTTGAAAACATGAAATCATTTTTTAAAATTTCAGAAATAATGACTTCAGATCCCAAATAATACTACTACAATCACAGGTAAAACTCCAGATTACCTCAGTGGTTCTGGTCTTGATAAAGTATATTTCCAATTCAATATCATACTAATTTTAGGAAGAATCTGGTCATCTTTCTAACCCTCACTAATCATGTAAGAATAGAAAATTATTTTATTTTATTTTAGGAACTCTGAGGTGTAATTCCTTAAACTTCCCTTACTATTTTGGAGAAAATATGGCTGATGTAACTGTGGGTTTTAATTTTTGTTAGGTCACTATAGTTACTGAACTGTTAAATCTAAAATTATGTTATCTGTGCCTTAAAAATAACCTACAAAACAACCCACCTCAAAAGGTACCGAAAGGTACAGGTTTGTGCGGCAGAAACGCACACGTGATATGTGAAAGATTTTCCAAGTAATGTTCCAAAGTAATGCATGATCAAGGCCAATGTGTGAAAAGTACATGCTTTTGAATAGCCAATGCTACCTATCAGACAAATACAGATTAGTACTTCTCTAAGTAAGGCATCCAATTTAGTTTTTTGTTTGTCTGATGTTAGCATCTTACAGTAAAGGCCCCCCAAACATTTGTGTACTTGCTGCACTAAGCCCCTTCTGCCTTAACAAGGTTAACTATGACTAAGATATTGGCAGTTCAGATCCCAGTTTCCCCAATTCTGAGAACAGGCAAACAAAAATAGGATTGAACTATAGAGTCATAGGTTGGAAGGGGCCTTGAAGCTTGGTTAGTCCTACCAAGATGATGCATGAAATCCACAGCCACAGCATCTCCACCGGAGTCTGTGGAGTGCTTTAATATCACTTGAAGAGCATGATGAAAAGATACAGAATTCCGTTTAGGCTCTAGCACCATCAGTTTGCAGTACAACAACTGAAGGACAACACACCAAACTCTTGGCCTTATCAACTAATAATGATACTAATTAAATATAGGCTGGGTAAGGGAGGAACTTCCTGAGCCTCATTCAGGAGGCCATTGTCACACTTGGCAAGAACTGTGACTGCAAATGTGGAACAGAATGAGCTTTTCGCTATAACACACTTAAGACAATTCTAGTTATGAGAAACATACAGTCTTAGAAAGGCAAGGCATTTCAGCAGTGTCATGAGCAGATTCATTTTTCAAGGTTCCACAGCAGCAAAGGTACGTAGCTTGTTGATTGGCCAACAGGCAATCCATGTTGATTCTCTCCACTTGCTTCAGTAAAATTGTTAGAACCAAAAGAGAAGCTTTCACGCATATTGAGCTGCTCATCTTAGATTGGACAACCAATTTTCACAGGCTGGAATTTCACAGTCAACTGTTCCTCGGATTACATGACTTCTGATAACTCCACTCTCCCTTCGGTGGCAATGACTTCCTTTTCCATGCTGGCAGTGGTCCTGTTTTCACACAGCTTCTGCTTGAGTTTATTGAGTTCATACTCATGCAAGATTTTCTGAGTTAAGTACTTCTCACGCTTTATTTTGGCTTTCACCTCAGCGGGGACATCAGGAATCATCCAAGCCACAAAGAATTTGACAATGAAAACAACATGCTGCAAGGCAGGGGAACAATGCATAAATAGGAGGATGTATGCAAAGAACTATGGAGGCAAGGTATGTCAGCAAACAGTTGTTATTCCGTTCTAAACATTTGCAGTGCAGACTTTCTAGGCTTGAGCTCTGAGAAAGATGGTTTTGCAAAGTGATGATATCTTCCTCAACCTCGGCCCTCCAGATGTTTTGAGACTACAATTTTCATCATCCCCGACCACTGGTCCTGCTAGCTAGGGATCATGGGAGTTGTAGGCCAAAAACATCTGGAGGGCCTAGGTTGAGGAAGCCTGTCCTACACCTTAAAGTTGCGGCTACAAAGAGGGGGGTTTTTTGGGGGGAGGGATCAACAACATCATGCCATGCACACTAATTTCATCAGCTTGGGATGCATTTAGATAAATAGCACAAACTTTTGGGAGGCAAAACAACAGAGGGTTGTTTGCAGTAAAGCTTGAAAAATTCTGCAACTCTTTTATAATCTGCATATGTGCAAATGGTATTCAATTCTGGATTTTCGTTTGCAACTTGTAAATCCTTTGTGTTTTGTTGTTACCTTTCTTTTAAAGCTACAATTCCATGAATCACAACAAGATAATTTTGTACCCTCATCAAAACTGCAGTAACTCTACACTGACACTCTACACTGAATCGATTACAAGAGGCAAGGGAACAACTTACCTCCATAATAATGATAAAAGCCATCTTGGCAGCCAGAATGTGCCAGAACTGCATTGTGTGTGCATATTTCCTCTCATGGTCTGGTGGATATCGATAGTCCCTGTACCTGTTGAATACAAACATGTAAAGGTGAAGGGCCACATTCAAAGGCAGACAGATTACAAGCTCAGTGGCATTTACATTCAAATACACCTGTCACTTAAGAAGCCTTTTGATCCTGATCTTAATGTTTTGCTTTATTTATTTCTTTTCAGGACATGGCTCTTGTAACTGGTTCAGTGTCCCTCGTTTGCTCATTCATAGCAAAAGCAAACTGTAGAGCACATGCTAGCAAAGCTTTCAGATATCATAAGGTGATGTTTGGATAGGTGGATCATGGAAGAGCATAAATCAGGGAACAGAAACATAAAACAAGACGTGATGTAGGAAAGTTGTTCAAACAAAGCACTAAAGCTTAAATGGTACAAACAGAAGCCTTGGGCTTTAATGGGAACATGTCCTACACTTCCTCCGTAGATTTCCATGGCTCATTTATAGCCAACAGGAAAAGTCCTCTTCACATGCAACTCACGCAAATGGATAGCACAGATATAAAGAGAGCTGCATGTGAGTCCTCCTGGCCCCCCTTGAGCAACACCTTCCATTGACAAAAAAGGCTCCCTCTTCCAGAAGGTATCTGTAAGGACATTGGGGGCTAGGAGGAATTACATGAGCTCCAGGGTAAAGCTAAATGTGTGGTCTTTTACAGCCATGATGCCCCTTTGCATGAGAAACATGCAAAGAAGGCTAATGCTAGAAATGATTCTGTAGGCACCTTGTAGTGAAAAACCACGTGGAATCTTGTGTGTTATAGTAGCCCCATTCCAAGAGGTGTACTCAACAGGGAATAGGGTTATCAGGAATGTCATAGAGGTAGCACTGGATAAAACAAAATGTTGAAACCATTCCTAGCCAATTACATATGAGTCCTCTTTTAAAGGAGACTGTAAAAAGTCTCCATGTGATACAACTCACCTTTCTCTGAACTCTGATATATGCATTTTATTTTAGGTCACCTCTCCAGGTGAGACAATCACAGAGCTACTATTGAAAACTGTAGTTCTGTGTTGTGGGCCCCCTCTTCCCCTAGTGACATGTTAGAGAAGCAGGTGACATTACATCATTTTATTTTTATTTTTAGCTTTTCCTGACCCACATAACATGTTACTGAGAAAGGTGGCAGGGGGGTTGCCAATATGGGGTTGCAAAGACACCATGATCAGCATCACATCTACTTCTAGAGTGAAATTACTTTAAATTTAAAAGTGAGAATAAGGCAATGAAAGGTTGTAGTCTTTGCACTTCCTTACTTCTGTCCTTTGGGCTACATTTGTTCTTTTTTTCCTACTACCGTACTGGTAATATTGCCACCATTACATCTTGCCTTCAAGATGACATCAAATTACATTCCCTAAAACTCCTATAATAAAGCAAATGTTTTATTCTGATGGCTAAAGGGCCCCTCATTTCATCTTATAGAAGGCAACAGTAAGGAGAAGAATTTAATGATTAAGACCAATATAACTGATTTATTACAGTAATCTACTGCAAAAAAACCAACACACAAACGAACACGTAAAAGAGGTTAATTGCAACTAACCTGCAAGTGGAAAAGTTTTCTGGGTTTATGTCAGGCCTGTTTTTATCAGGAAAATCTGAGGTTTGAAATATGGAGAGGCTGTCATTAATGTATCCAGACATGGGTGAAGAAGGATCCATAGAGTAGGCATAATAATATACCAATCGAGGGATCATATCGGATGTGAAGGCAACAATAAATGCCTGCAGGAAAGAAGTTGGATTATATGTAAAATGTTTCATTCACAAGAAATGCAAAGAAATGAACAATGTATCTACCTTTGAATACTAATCCACGCACAGAGTCAAAGGTCACCAGGTGAACTTAAGCCATTTTTTCTCAGCCTAAGCTACTTCACAAGAATGTTGTGAGGATATAGGAGAAGAAGAAAACCAGGTATGCCATTTCGAGCTCCATGGAAGCAGGGATTGAAAAGTCTCTATTTATTGATATATGTAAGAACATAATAACAATAGTGATTTATCAGACAAAAACCCAACCTAGTCCAGCATCCCATTTCCCACAGTGGTCTATCAGATGGCTATGTGAAGCCCACAAGTAAGACAAGAGCACTTGCCTGTTCCTATTCCACAGCACCTAGCATTCAAAGCCTCTGATGCTGAAGGAAACCTGGATGTACAACTGGTAAACTTAACTGGAACCATTATTGATCTGCCACTGCTCTATGATCCTCTGCCAAGGCTCTCTTCCATGTACCTCTTCCATCTGGAGTATGACAATACCTTCAGAGGAGAGGGCTTTCTTGGCAGTGGTTATAAAGCATCCTTCCCAAAGAGGAAGGTGCAATCATTTAAATGCCAGGCAATAGCACATTTTAATTGATTTAATTGAGCAATCATTTAATAGTTCATTTTAAAGCTTTCATCTGCTGCTTTTATCTTTGTTTTTGTATTTCATTACATTGATCTTTTATGTTTAGTGCTGCCCTGAAATCTAACCTGACAAAGCATGGTCCACAATGCAGGCACCACTATGGATGCTTTGCCATTCACACTTCTGCGAAGGTCAGGACGAAAACCAACAATTTATTCCACTAATTTTAATGGAACTAACTTTAGCTGAATTGGGGTCCTGTGCTTTACATATTATAATTTCCCTTAGAAAAAAAAGTGATTATGTTGGAGTGCACCAATTACCACCTTCTTAGAGCTTCGGTTCCCAGGATCCCTGAAGTAAGACATGAGCTTTAAAACAATGTGTACTACCATACACCTTCCAATCGGCTTAAATTTTTTACGTATACCCAAGCCTCAGCAAAATGCAGGACCAGCTGTATGGACTCTAATACAATAGCAATTCAAAGAGGCACAAAACAAGGATGCCCACTGTCCCCCTTCCTATTAATCTTGGCTCTGGAACCTCTAGCAAACCAAATCCGAGCAGCCACAGACATCAAGGGAGTGGAAATAAAAGACAGAACCTATAAATTAGGGCACTTTGCAGAAGACCTGATGGTCACAACACCAGACCCCATAAACATAGCAACCACCCTAACCAAAGAACTCGACACATTTCCAATGGTGTTGGGCCTACAATCAAACACTGCAAAATCTGAGGCCATGTGTTTCAACACCCCCTCATAGCCAAAAAGAATTCACCAGCATCACCAAAATAAAATTCTGCTGAACCAAGTTCAGATACCTAGGGGTACAAATAACCAGAAACCTCCACAAACTATACCTCTACAATTACAACCCCTTGTGGCGACAAATCAATGAAGACTTGAAGAAATGGAACACCAACTTCACCCTCTCAGACAAAACAGCCATAATCAAAATGATCACCCTCCCAAAATTAACCTACCTATACCAAACCCTCCCAATCTGGATTCCCCCAACCCAACTCCGCAAATGGCAGAAAAAAATTACATTCATTTATCTTATCACACAAAAAAGCAAGAATAAACCTCAAATACCTACATCTCCCCTCCTCAGGAGGAGGATGGGGAATCCCCAACATAGAACTATACTACATTGCCAACCAAGTGCGCCACATAATCCCATACGTTCTAGAAGACAAGACAAAACAATGGGTACACCTGGAGAGAGATATAATTGAAAATACCCCCACCACAGCATACCCATTCATCCTAAACAAGCTAAGTAAAATCCCCACAACACTAAACAGGTTCATACAGACCATGCTTAAAGCATGGAAAGAGGAAGCAACCCCAACCAGTGAGCCAGTGTGGTATAGTGGTTAAGAGTGGTGGACTCGTAATCTGGTGAACCGGGTTCGTGTCCCCGCAACTCCACATGCAGCTGCTGGGTGACCTTGGGCTAGTCATACTTCTCTGAAGTCTCTCAGCCTCACTTACCTCAGAGTGTTTGTTGTTGGGGAGGAAGGGAAAGAGATTGTTAGCCGCTTTGAGACTCCTTAGGGTAGTGATAAAGCGGGATATCAAATCCACACTCTTGTTCTTCTTCTTCTTGCAACCCCAACCCCCACTAACCCACCACCCACTATTCCACCATGCAGCACAAAACTTCCAGATAATAACCTGGCAAGCCAAAGGCTTATACAAAAATAACAAACTGACATCAACACAAGAAATACAAGACAAACTAGGGGACACCCAATTGCTCTGGGTGACACCCAATTACATGTTGAGTTTGGAACTTAACTGGTTAAGAAGTTCCCAGGATGCCTCAACATTCTGACGTCAGCTGTGGAAGCTGGGAGGAGCCTGGGAGTGGTTTCTGTTCTGTTCCCCTCTGGTCGGTGAGGGAGAAAGACGTAGCCGGTAATGGCTGCCAGGAGCCCAGGGGGAATCCCTGGGGGAATGTCGGAATAAAGAGCTGTAAATAGACGAACCTGTCTATGTGTGTTTGTCTGGAAGCTGAACCAAAGGACGTGACAGTTTCATCACCGCTGTGCTTATCTCTGCTACTGGCGTGACTGGAGCTGACTGAAGAGCTGCTGGAGACGGAGCAGAGTCTCGCAGGGAAGTGTGCCGGGCTGCAATGTTGTCGGTTATCTGTATCTGCTCTAACGAAGCAGGGGTTCAAAAATGTGCTTTGAAAATGACACCTGTTCCATTTTCAGAGGGGGGCGACAACGGGTCAACATGGCGAAGAGCAAGAACAATTTCTTTGTTCTGGAGTCACCTATGGAGGGTGGTGGGAATGCTGAAAGAGCACAGGTGCAGTGTGCTAAGGTTCCCAAAGGTGTGCAAAAGTTTCCCACTGTACGTGCTGGAATCAAGTGGAGGTTCAGAGGGGGCGGAGCTGGCAAGGAGTGTTTTTCCGGAAGAAGGAGGGCCAGGCCAGCTGGGAGGAGCCCCGGAGCAGTATTTTTCCACTGGAGTTCGTCATTGCTACAGGCTTCAAGGCCAGCCATCTGCTGCAGCGGGAGACACGTGCTGCAGAGTTGTCTGGGAACTCTGAGATAAGTCCAGTCTTCAGAGCAACGCAGGATGTTGCGGTTTTCGGACGCTGCCAAGGACAGAGGGGGCAGCGGGACGTTTGTTGCTTCTACGGCAACTGTGAAGAACAACTCCAGCCAGGACACGGTGACACGCTGGGTGTTTTGGTTTCTGCTGTCAGGCAGCACCTGATAGGCAAGCTGCGGAACTGCAGGGCTGTTTTCAACAGGAACAATTGTGGTGTGGCTAACGTGTTTTTCTCTCCTTTACAGGAGGAGCAAGAGGTCTACGTTGTGCCGGGACTGAATTGTTGTCGGTTATCTGTATCTGCTCTAACGAAGCAGGGGTTCAGTCAGCTCCAGTCACGCCAGTAGCAGAGATAAGCACAGCGGTGATGAAACTGTCACGTCCTTTGGTTCAGCTTCCAGACAAACACACATAGACAGGTTCGTCTATTTACAGCTCTTTATTCCGACATTCCCCCAGGGATTCCCCCTGGGCTCCTGGCAGCCATTACCGGCTACGTCTTTCTCCCTCACCGACCAGAGGGGAACAGAACAGAAACCACTCCCAGGCTCCTCCCAGCTTCCACAGCTGACGTCAGAATGTTGAGGCATCCTGGGAACTTCTTAACCAGTTAAGTTCCAAACTCAACACCCCTCTTGCTGAAACCATTCTGACAAGACCCTCTGAGTTCAACACCTTCCCCTTTGCCTTGTGCCCCTTCCCGGCATCTTTCCCAGGCACCTGTTGAACCCTTCAGCATTCCCAGAATCACACTGTGCGACACTTTTCCACGCACCTGTGACCTGATACCCTACTGACCCATTAGGGCCAGCAGTTGTGTCTTCTCCGTCAGACTCTTCCCCCTCTGACTTGACACCCCTTCCGTGAGCTTTCTCCATTACCGGAGATTAAGCCTCACACCTGGACACTCCTTTCACAACCCTTGGAGATGCCCAAACCTGCCCTGAACCCTGACCCTGGACTTGGTCCCCATCACCGGGTTTTGAACCCTGATTCTGGACCTGATCCCCGTCACCGGGCTCAGCAACAGGTTTGGGCATCTCCAAGGGTTGTGAAAGGAGTGTCCAGGTGTGAGGCTTAATCTCCGGTAATGGAGAAAGCTCACGGAAGGGGTGTCAAGTCAGAGGGGGAAGAGTCTGACGGAGAAGACACAACTGCTGGCCCTAATGGGTCAGTAGGGTATCAGGTCACAGGTGCGTGGAAAAGTGTCGCACAGTGTGATTCTGGAATGCTGAAGGGGTTCAACAGGTGCCTGGGAAAGATGCCGGGAAGGGGCACAAGGCAAAGGGGAAGGTGTTGAACTCAGAGGGTCTTGTCAGAATGGTTTCAGCAAGAGGGGGTGTTGAGTTTGGAACTTAACTGGTTAAGAAGTTCCCAGGATGCCTCAACATTCTGACGTCAGCTGTGGAAGCTGGGAGGAGCCTGGGAGTGGTTTCTGTTCTGTTCCCCTCTGGTCGGTGAGGGAGAAAGACGTAGCCGGTAATGGCTGCCAGGAGCCCAGGGGGAATCCCTGGGGAATGTCGGAATAAAGAGCTGTAAATAGACGAACCTGTCTATGTGTGTTTGTCTGGAAGCTGAACCAAAGGACGTGACAGTTTCATCACCGCTGTGCTTATCTCTGCTACTGGCGTGACTGGAGCTGACTGAAGAGCTGCTGGAGACGGAGCAGAGTCTCGCAGGGAAGTGTGCCGGGCTGCAATGGCTAATTGAGGACCAATAAATCAATTAGCGGGAGTCGCGCCAATATCGTAAATAACCACATTACATACCATCTTAAACAATCCAGTAGTAAAATCAGCAGCAACTAGACCCTTTATAACCTTTGAAAACCTCCTCTTAACAACAAAGGGACATGGCATGGGGTTTGGTGTCCACAATATACAAAATACTGCTCCAAAATCCCACAAACCCCCTCAACATAATCAAAAAAACAATGGGAGGATGACATAGGCTATGAAATTAACCCTATCCAATGCACTAGAATGTGGTCTAAACCTCCCTTTAAATCCATCTCAGTGAAAAGGAAAGAACTCACTATGAAACTCACTTACAGATGGTACCTAATACCACAAAAACTAGCACTGATATGCCCTCACAAAATGCTGGAGAGGCTGTACTTCCACAGGCACATACCTCCGCATGTAGTGGGAATGTCCAAAAATCCAACTCTTCTGGACACCAGTCATACAAGAAATATGCAAAACAACTAAACAAGTATTAGAAGTCACCCCAGAACTGGCCCTACTGAACATCTTCCAAGATAATAACGCCCACTCATATTACGAAGAGCTCAGAACCCACCTACTCTCAGCAACAAATGAAACTGATCTATAGAAAACACAACTTGAAAAAAGAGACAATGCACATATTTTTGTAAACACACACACACATTACTTACATTTGTGACAACAGACAAGATAGCCATCCCATTCAGAATTTCTTGCCAGACTCCTATGCTATGGGCTTTGGCTGCCACTGGCCTTCTAAACTGCGTTGTAAGCTTCCAAGAATCAACTCGAATTTCCAGGATATTGTTCATCAGAGCAAGTAGTGGAGCCAAAGGAAAAGAGGCCACAAATAAAGTGATAAATCCAAACTGGATAACTAGATGAAAAGAAGAGAGAAAAATAAAGGAAAACATCTGAATGAAACCTTAGAGAATTTGCATTTGAATTAATTGTGAATAGTAAACATACATATCAGAATATTTGTGTGCAGCTGTGGATGCAAGTACATGGTGTGAATCAAAACAAAGGTAGCAAGTATTCCTGGAAAAAAAGTAAGCCAGTTTTTACATTTAAGGACTTAATTCAGAAAAAAATTGTAGTTATTTATTAAGAAAAATAATACAGAGACTGAAGATGAAGAGATCAGTTCCAGAATAAGACTGAAAATCTTTCCCTGAAGAAGAAAATACCCAACACAGAAAAGGAAATTCTACCTCTCCCTTCAAGTCTTTCGCTCAGAGGCAGGGAGCCAACAACCTTCCAGATGTTGCTGGACTACAGCTCCCATCATACCTGACCATAGACCACACCGACTGGGGTTTATGGGAGCTGGAGTCCAACAACACCTGGAAGAACACATGTTCCCCACTCCATGACCTACCATAGTCTGCAGTCAAACTTAAGCATGTATGATCGAAGCAACGGCATAGCCTTTCTCCCCGCCTCCACTTTCTTCCCTTTTCTTGCTTGATTTCCCTTGACTGAATTTTAGATTGTAAGCTCCTCAAGGCAGGGTCTCTGTAAGCGCCATGCATACTGTTGGCACAGTAATCATGCTAAATGATAAACCAAGAGCTTGTATGACTTTAGCTGTGTTCCAGCTCCATCCCTGGCCTGAAAGCCTTCATGGCAGTAGTGGCTGGTGTGGCAGCCATCAATGCTCTCCCAGCTTCCAAACACAGTATGTTGCTGGCACTTACAGGACGGAGAGAGGCTAGGAGAATGGTGCTATGTAGCGGACCCAAACCACTGCTGTTGCCATTATGTGCCTGCACAGTGCCTAGTTTGGTGCTGGGAGGACAGTGGTGCCCTACCTAAGCCACCACACTGGTCACTACTGCTTCATTGAGACTTTATTTCCTTGCAAGTCACTGCCTCTCCATGGCTGTCAAAGTGAGCATTTGGTGTCCCCCCTCCACTTACACAGGGGTTACGTTCTGGGCCGCCATGCACATAAGTGAAATTGCATAAAGTGGGAAGCACCCTCTAAAAAGCCTTGAAATGCTCGTTTTTCCATGCTTTCTAGCTCCCTCTCATGCTCTCTCTCAATACAACTCTCTCTTCAACTAGTGTTTGAAGCTCTGGGGCCAGCTGAAGGCTGGAAGATGCGTGGGGAGGCTGAGCAGCCTACACAAAACCCCGCTGTGTCTCAAATCTTTTTGGGGCTTCCTCCGCCCTCACTGATGTCCTCTTTGGGCTCAGTGAGGGTCTCCTTATGAGTTATGAGGACTCTCCAGTTCTCTCCCGCCATTTCCTGGTATGATCCTATTTAGAACATGCGAAAGTGGGGAGACGCCTGTATGGTCCACAACAAATTAAAAAATATTTCGCTCTATGGTGCTTTCAGATAAAGAGAAAACCCAAAACATACTTTATTCATTACCGCAATGAATACCAACTCAAATCAGCATGTCTGCTTTTAGTTTCTTAAAGGCTAGCACACAAAACACAATGTAGCAGCCATAACAGCACTATTTTAGAACAGATTTTCTTGCTAGCTACCATATGCCATCTGTTGGCTGCTCTGTGAAATCACAACAGCTGTTGGCTTCTTATCTTCTGCTCTCTGTAGTTATGCTCTGTTTATGTGGTAGCACATTGTGACAGCAGAAAGTTCGTGTCTTTCACTGTAAAACATGGGTCAAACTGCAGATACTGCTGTGTTCAGATAAGGCAGGGGTGTAAGCCACATGAAGTCTGTGCTGAATGCTCACTAAAAGCAACATAATTATTGTTGTGAGGCACAGCACTGCAGCAAAATTTTAGATTTTTTTTTAATGGATATTCTCCATTTTGTGCCTAAGAAGTTGATTCACATAGCCTTTCAGTCAAGAGACATGAGCTGAGGAATATGTATTAGCTCCATTCAATTGCACGGAAGAAAAGCAGCAACTGTCAGAAGCTGAAAAAGCTCTATACAGAGGTATTTTATAACCATTCCTTGTGCTTACCCATTTCCAAGTACTCATAGAATAGGCCCAAGGCTCCAAAGTTCTGCAGATCATGGTCCTGCTCCCATCGACTGTATAAATTCTCAGGACTGCTACTGGCTTTCCGACGGCCCCACCAATTCCGGATCCAGCTGTGGGTTGGAGTAACAGAAAACACCAGATGGGGCAGGTTGCATAAAAGGTACAGCACTGAAGTCAGAATCATGTCCCATATGGTATGACACCAAAAGTGTTTTTCAAGTATCTCTCCCATAAAGAAGACTATACAGGGCGGAAAAAGTCCAGATTACAGGGCCACTGTAGTCCTATTTGGGTGTTCTAAATCACACCCCACACACAATGCATCTCTGCAGTCAAATCACCTACCACCATCACCCCTACTATTTTCACACTGGGGTGAAAGTCTGAAAAGAGGAGCTAGGCTCTTTGTGCATATGATATTGCCATGATTTGCAACCCTGATCTCACAGTGCTCCAAATCAAAGAGAGACCATGTGTGTGCAGACCAGGCTTCTCTCTTCAGACACTCCCTCATATAGCACTGATTCTGGTGCCTAGGAATGCTCCCTCTTTTCCAGTTCCATAACCATTGCCTACATTTTAAGTAATATTCTCTCATTCTGCAGTAAGAAGTTTCTGCAACCAAAATTAATATCGTTATGCCTTTATGTGCTTACTGCGCTCACTGTTGAGATGCATAACGCAACCTATTCCTATCTCTTAAAAACGAAACTTACTCAACATGAAGGCATCACTTACGGTACAATAGCCTCTTGGATGTTGCCCCATATCTGTTTGCCAGCCATGATAATGGTAAGCTGTGTTGTCAGCTCTATCAGGCATCCTGCAGGATCACACTAATGAAACAAGGGTGGGGAGAGGAAGAAGCAACACGTAATTGGTCTTTCCCTTGAAAACCACAGCGTTAAAGTAGAAGACAGGAACTCTTTACTAAGTAGTAAAGAAAGCAAAACCACATGGGTTTAACCCTAAAACTGCTTACCTACAGAGCAACTGTTCTTGATTATGCCGAGAAATTAAACTGACTACAGCATTCACTATACTCCTCAGCCTTACCCCCAAGTTGACACCAAAAGTCAGCAGAAAGTTTCTGCCAGAAAAAGAGAACAGCAGGACCAAAAAAGAAGCTTTCCAGTGCTGGGCTTGCCATCTTTTGTTTTAGGAAAACTAAGGCAATGAGAATTGGTTCGAGAGCTGGGTCAGGGGTGAGAGGTTGAATTATGCGTATACCAAGTATTGATGTAAAGCACCTAGTTTTAATATTAAAAAGCCAGCAGCCAAACATCTGACTGGCTGTTTCAAATCAACAGGCGACCCCTCATTTCTATTCCTGGGCATGTGCAGCTTTTTTTCTGTGCCCAGCCTCCCAGTTTTACTTCTGTCAGGTTCCTCATTCTTGCCTTCTCTTCTTGCCCACATTCCTCTGGACAACTCAACCCAGGGAAATAACCTGTTCCAACCTTCATTTTTTAAAGTTCCATGGATTCTCTAGGGCAGCAGTCCTTCTTCTCAAGTTCTTGGCTCCTGCCTTCTTCTGCCCTCCCTCCCATGGTCTCTCTGACTTCTCTGTCCCTTTCTAAGATCTGAACACCTCAACTAATGGCAGCCGAAGAGTCACAGGAAGGGAGCTAGGCTGACTTGCTTCCTTTGCCTCAGACCCGGTTAGCTGTACAGAGGATTCTTACGCAGAGAAGGTATATCCCACTATTTACCTTAAGGTCAACTTCTGAGGAAGCCCCCTGAAAATTTATCCATCACATTTTGTAGGGGCAGTTTCACTGATAGGGAACAATAGATTTCAGCCAATCAAACCCAGAAGCTCTTCTCCTACCCCACCCTGTCATTAGAGTGGCTTAGTCTGCAGGTGGCACTGTCAGCCCCATCACAAAACCCTTAATACTATATAAATTTATGATTTGGGAAGAAAGAGAGAGACAAAGTCTTAATGCCAGAGTGAGAGACATGACTATTGTTCTCAGAGAGCCAGTCTGTTTCAGCAGTTTACTCTTGAGTTATATAATGCAAGGACCTTTGTTTGCAGACAGCACATTCCAAAACATACACCGACAAACACAGACAGGCATCTTCTACTGCATCTTATGTATATTTGTGACATTTTCCTGGCTTTTTATTCAGAATATTGTGCTGTTTTAGTGGCCTGTCTTTACAAAAATGAGGGTGGTTGGCAATTACTTCCTTAATTCACTAAAAAATGACCCCATACCTCTTCATTTCTCCAGCGATCAAACATGTATGTGTAGTGACCTGGGTACCCCACAAATTTCCCTTTGAAGAAAGCCACGTAGAAACATGAAGAATAATAGTTGACAAACTGAAACAGGAACATCTTCATGGTGAGTCTGTTCTCGTATTCAAGGTGAGTTCTTGGGATCTCTACAAGGTCAACAAAATAAACAAGGATTTTTTCTTTTCTGCACCATGAACAGCAAACAAGGCTACAGCAAACACTGACAATTTTGAATTTGGCTGAAGCACTGCAGAACTATTAGGTATGAGTAAGAACAGGGTTTCCAAAAGAATACTGCAAGACCATTCACTGCATTTTTATGCCAGCAGAGGGCAGCAACTATAGAACAGTGAATCGAGTCTATAGCCTCTCTATGCAAGTGACAGGACTACTGCAGAATTATTCCTACAGGTGAACAATTAAATTCTTCCAAATTTAAAACACATTATAATTATTATTTCCACTGTGGAAAAATGAATGCAGATTAAAACATTTCCATTTGACAGCTATAATTGGGGACCATCATCTTAACTCAGGAAGCACTTATTTTAGGATTATTCTAAATGCTTCATTATCCCATTATTCACTGATAAATTGATCTGAACAACAAACATCACTCAAGTGTGGTAGTTAATGACACAAATGGAATTCGTGGTCCAAATCTTAATCGTAAGGTTTGCAAATTGTAATAAATGCTCGCATAAGCAGCCTACTCGTATGAAAAATGTAAAATCTGGAGAGGTGAGTCAAGAAAAATGTCAGTTGTGGATGGTATATTATTATGGAAGGGGAGAAATGCTCTTCCACGAGTTCCCTACAGTGATGTTACACTCCTAATAAGTAGTTATTAGCATGGTCAAGCCAGCTGCAATAGTGTACAAGCTCTTCCTCATAAAATCACAGAACTAGGATGCAGCTGTGGATAATCTAGGAAGAAAGCTATATGATACAGAGGGAGGTCTCAAAAACAGTTTCCCAGGAATGCTAGCCAACTTGGCCAGATGGAAAAATTGTATAAATATTCAGCTTCTGGTTGCCAATAAACTCAGCATTTCCACCACAGGGACAGAAACATATCCCTGACAGTTCTGTCTTTATGCAACATACCTACCCATATCTGTGATCCAGATGGCTATCCTCTCATACAAGAAATTCAGTATCATAATGATGACAAAATTCAGGCATGAAGCAGTGACCGATGTTGCCAGTTGTGGTGTCAGGATACCTTGAATAGGCTGCAAGGTTTGTGCATTCTCCATGATGCTGGCAAAAGCAGCATAGACGGCAAGGCGGTAAACTATCACGGCTATCATACTAGCTATGATCAAAAAGATCTGAGAGAAACCACAGAGGGTTAAGGACAATGACATCATATCAGAAACAGCCTTTAATGCTTTTTACTATATAGCAAGCATGGGGAAGCCATGTCCCTACAGCTGTTGATGGACTCCAAGTCCCATCAGCCCCACCCATAATATCCAATGGACATGATGGGAGTTGTAGTTCAGCAACATCTGGAGGACCACCAGTTCCCTGTGTCATATAGGACTCTAAGGGCCAAACTACACATCGAGAATAATAGTGTAGTATGACCCCATCAGGACTGTATCACTTCAGACTGCAAGAGGGAGGATATGTGTCTATCTGAAGGCTGATCTGATGCTCATCCAATGTATTCTTCTTGCAAGTAAAACCCAAGTACATCAGGGTGAGAGCCAAGCCAGACCCTATCCACCTGATGCACTGTTATTTTTGTGTCTTTCAGTTGATATTTGCTACCAACAGTTGTGTGTAATGGATGCGATACTGTGATAGTTCTGCATCTACCTCCAGGGTCAGTTTCAGAAAGCTGCAGTGGGGAGCTTCTGCTCAACCACCATGGCACTTGTGTCATAGAGTCCTACATGGCTCTGTTTTATGCCCCCATGCTCTTTCTCAAACTGCTCGGTAAGGTAATCTAACCTAGATCTATTTCTCTATGTCATGTGAGTCAAGTGAGGCTCAGCCAATGCCTGGATTTGGAAATGGACAGATGAGGGTCAAGACTGAAGCTGAATCCTGACAAGACAGAAGGACTGTGAGCAGGTGATTCTTGGGTCTGAGAGACAGATGTTCAGTGTGTTCTGGATGGCACTGAACTCCCCCTAAAGTAGCACACATGGAACTTGAGTGTACTCCTTGATTTAACATTGCCACCTGATGCCTAAGCGGCCTTGTCTTTTAACATTTTTGCTTGGTTCTCCAGCTGCATCTGTTCGTGGCCAGAACCTCTGGTAACACCCTGGATGGATTAGATACATTATACATGGGGCAACCCCTCAGTGTTATACACAGGGCTGCCCTTTAAGACTATATAGAAGCTTCAATTAGTGAAGAACTCAGCTGACACAATTTTAACTGGCTCAGCCCAGTTGATTCACAGTATTCTGATTCAGAAAGAATTGTCTCGGCTACATGGTCACAACTGGGACCAGTATTCAAGATGGTGATATGTACTTGTAAAGTCTGAAATGGTTTGGGTCCTTTCCTGCAGTGGTACTTCAACTCTGGAACACCCTCTTCAATGTTGGTAAGCCTTTTGCTGACATTGTAATATTTCTGGTGCCTCTTGTATTTGGCCAAGCATTTCAAAGGGCTATGTTTGCTTTTGCTTTTTGTAGCTTTTCCTGCCTATTTGTTTTCAAGGTTGGTTGTTTTTAATTGTGTTTGTGTTTCGTATAAGTAATTGTTTATGCTTATTGTACATTGCCCTGGAAACCGCTAGATGAAGGGAAATTTAGAAATAAGTAGGATAAATGTAGTCATGTCTTCAGTCTAAAGTGGTATAGTCCGAACAGAGCAGTAATATTGTCTTTTTCTGCTTAGCTTGTCTGTTAGTATACCCAGCAAAATCATGCAAAGCACACTAGTGGCATGCTGTTTCAAAATCCACCAATACCATGTTACAATTTCATTGCATAGATATGGTAGCATTATAAACATTTGTGTTTATAACACATTATCCACATACTAAAGATCTCTCAATTTTTTTTTGTATTGAAATAGAGAAAGTTGAATTGATTCAGACGTAAATGATGCAATCCAGAACCCAATTTCTCCAGAGTGTTTTGGTCAATAATATATTACTACAGGTTATAGGGAAATTTTATAATCAAGCATTTGAACAATTCAAAATAGATCAAAATTCCCTTGGTCTACAGATAACTACAGAGACTGATTATCTATATCTGGTTTCAGGCCTGGTTATGGGGCAGAGGCTCTGTGCAAGAACTGTGTATCCCTGTTGGCTGTGCTAGACATCTTAACAGCTTTCAGTACCATCAAACATGGTATTCCTCTGGGCCACCTTGCAGGGATGGGACTTGGAGGTACTATTTTACAATGGCTCTGCTCCTTTCTGGAGGGACTCCTGTTTGACACCTTGGACACTGGCCTGCAGAGTCCCTCAGTGTTCTCTTCTGTCCCCCGTGCTATTTAACATTTACTGTATTTTTCGCACCATAGGACGCACCGGACAATAGGACGCACCTTGTTTTAGAGGGGGGAGAACAAGGGAAAAAATTCTTCCGCTCTCTGCCCAGCGCCCCTTCAGTGAAGCGGCAGGAGGCGCTGCGCAGAGAGTGGGAGAATTTCCCCCCTCTTGTTTTCCTCCTCTAAAACAAGGTGCCGTTTAAGGTGCGTTCAGGCGGCTACCTTGGAAGCCTGGAGAGCGAGAGGGGTCGGTGCGCACCGACCCCTCTCGCTCTCCAGGCTTCAGGTTCCTTTCGACCTGCTCTTTGGGGCTGGCGGGGGGAAGCCCACCACCAGCCCCAAAGAGCAGGTCAGGGAGCAGCGGAAAGGCGCAGCAGAGAGGCTCCTGCCATAGGCGTGCGTCACCTCTCCAGCCGGGAGAGGGTCGCGGGGGGCTGCTTTAGCCCCGCGCGCGCTCTCCCAGCTGGAGAAGTGACGCGCGCCTATGGAGGCTCCTGCCATAGGCGCGTCACTTCTCCAGCCGGGAGAGGGTCGCGGGGGGCTGCTTTAGCCCCGCGCGCGCTCTCCCAGCTGGAGAGGTGACGCGCGCCTATGGAGGCTCCTGCCATAGGCGCGCGTCACTTCTCCAGCCGGGAGAGGGTCGCGGGGGGCTTCTTTAGCCCCGCGCGCGCTCTCCCAGCTGGAGAGGTGACGCGCGCCTATGGAGGCTCCTGCCATAGGCGCGCGTCACTTCTCCAGCCGGGAGAGGGTCGCGGGGGGCTGCTTTAGCCCCGCGCGCGCTCTCCCAGCTGGAGAGGTGACGCGCGCCTATGGAGGCTCCTGCCATAGGCGCGCGTCACTTCTCCAGCCGGGAGAGGGTCGCGGGGAGCTGCTTTAGCCCCGCGCGCGCTCTCCCAGCTGGAGAGGTGACGCGCGCCTATGGAGGCTCCTGCCATAGGCGCGCGTCACTTCTCCAGCCGGGAGAGGGTCGCGGGGGGCTGCTTTAGCCCTGCGCGCGCTCTCCCAGCTGGAGAGGTGACGCGCGTCTATGTAGGCTCCTGCCATAGGCGCGCTTCACTTCTCCAGCCGGGAGAGGGTCGCGGGGGGCTGCTTTAGCCCCGCGTGCGGTCTCCCAGCTGGAGAGGTGACGCGCGCCTATGGAGGCTCCTGCCATAGGCGCGCGTCACTTCTCCAGCCGGGAGAGGGTCGTGGGGGGCTGCTTTAGCCCCGCGCACGCTCTCACAGCTGGAGAGGTGACGCGCGCCTATGGAGGCTCCTGCCATATGCGCACGTCACCTCTCCAGCCGGGAGAGGGTCGCGGGGGGCTGCTTTAGCCCTGCGCGTGCTCTCCCGGCTGGAGAGGTGACACGAGGCTATAGAGGCTCCTGCCATAGCCCCGCATTACCTCTCCAGCCGGGAGAGGGTCGCAGGGCTATGGCGTCTTCGCTCCATAGGACGCACACACATTTCCCCTTCATTTTTGAAGGGGAAAAAGTGCGTCCTATAGAGCGAAAAATACGGTACATGAAACTGCTGAGAAAGGCTGTCTGGAGTTTTGGGGTTCGTTGTCACCAGTATGCTGATAACCCAGCTCTATTTCTCCTTTCCACCAAAATCCAAGGAAGCAGTCTCAGATGCAAACCAGCGTGTGTCATCTGTAATGGACTGGATGAGGGTGAACAAATTGGAACTTAATCTAGACAAGACAGAAGCGCTCTTGGTCAGTCAGAAGGCAGAACACGGAATAGGGATTCAGCCTGTGCTTGATGAGGTAACACTTCCCACAAAGACACAGTCTGGATGTGCTCCTGGACTCCAGACTGAGCATGAATGCCCAGGTTTCCACAGTGGCCAGGAGTGCATTTGCACTGTGCCAACTGCACCCATTCTTGAGATATCTCAATTGGCCACAGTGACACATGCCTTAGTTACCTCCTATTTGGATTACTGTAAAGCGCTCTAGATGGGGCTGCTTTGAAAAGTGCTCAGAAACATCAACTGGCTCAAAGAGATATGATCAGATTATTGACCAGAGATAATTATAGGGAGCATAACCCTTTAGGGAGCAGTGGAACAGCTCCACTGTCTACCAGTCTGTTTCTAGGCACAATTCAAAGTGGTGGTTATGACCTTTAAACGCTACATGGCTTAGGTCCTGAAATAATGTATTCCCTCATACAAACCTGCTCAGGTTTTGAAATCTTCAGGAAAGGTCCTTCTCTTGGTCATGCCACACTCATATGCACGGTTGGTGGGGACACAGTAAAGGGCCTTCTCAGTAGCTGCTCCCAGACTCTAAAACTCCCTCCCAGGAGAAGCTAGACTGGCTCCCTGCTTGTTCTTCTTTCATCAGATGGTAAAAACTGTCTTGTTCCAACAGGCTTTTGGGAACTGCTTTTAATGAAAGGGCTGGTGACATACCATTTTTACTGTAACTATTTGCTTGTTGTAAACATATTTAATACACATATATGGTTTAATTCTATCAGTGTTTAATTGTTTTTTAATTATTATTTTTCTATGTTTTTAGTGATTGTTTTTATCTGCATGCTGCCCTGAATCCCATCAGGAGAAAAAGTGGGATATAAATAAATACAATAATAATAACAACAGAATCAGTGGCATCTCATAGATGTCATCTTAAAAGTAGGTTCCATTGAATTCAACAGAGGTTATTCCCAGGTATGTGGGTATAAAACTGTAACCTAAGTCACTATATTCATCATCATGAATAATGGACAACTAAATAAAGTCAAATGGATTGATTTGGCAGAAGAGAGAGTTATGGATTGTATGCTATACGATTCAGTGTGTACTTTGCATGACACTAAGAAAGCAGAATGTTAGTTACAACCCCTTGTAGCCAGAAGCACAGAGAGAAAGATACCGACAGCAAAAGCATTAAGGCATGTTAAAATTCAAGCTTAAAAAGTGATGCGTTGCTTGTTATGCATTACAGTGATGATTCAAAAGGATGCTCACCCAGAACAACACTGTCGTTCCCGAGATGCAGAATCGTATAGCCTGGCTAGTTAAAGGCAAGTAAGGCTCCAACTCCTGAAACAGTCAAGCAAGCACAGCACATTTCACCTCCCGCAGACATATTCTTACACTGAACACTGCAGAAAGCAACCTCAACCACTGTGAGAAAGCAAACACACCCCAAGAAAATAGTTTTTACACTCCCAAGGAATGCATGATGTAGCACATTTCATCTTATGGGAGAAAGACAGAAATGGAGGAGTCCATATGTAGATGAGAAGCCAGTCATCCTGTGCTTTTAAGGCTTTGCCAAATTTACAAGACGGCCAGAAGGCCATTTTTGTTTTCCTTCTCTGTGATCTTCTGAACAGAAGGGAGTGAATGCAGTTCAGTTTCCAATATGCCCAAATTACATGACAGGGGAAAAATATGTATGTTTGGACTGGACTAGATATTGCTGTTAAGTGTTGTCCTCCATTCTCTCAGGTCTTTTCATTGCTTTCCCACTTGAAGAAATGGCTCTTTCATTAGTTGCCACTCTAAGCTGCTGAGTTCACGCAGCCCTGTCTTACCCAAAACAAAATTCCAAAGTACAACAAGCTCAGTTTCCCATAGTCATGTATGCTCTTCCTCTTAACCAATTCTAATTCCTAGAATAGCAGACCAGACAATTTAAAAAGCAGTAATTAAAGAACGGAAAAGATTTCACTGTACCACCATCACCTGATACTAGTGCAACTCATGTCTGCCGCTATCTAACCAGGAAGCATCCAATTAACCAGAGTTTCTCATTTCATCCAAGCCAGGAAACTAGGGTCACCACCATCAGTTTAAATGCAATGAGAAACTATGGTTAATTGGAGACTTCCTGGCTTGATGGTTGCACAACACAAAGGGAAGAATGGAAGCAATGTATAACAAAGGTAAATGGTTATGTCCAGGCCTTAAGGCTAAGGCCTATGCTGCTGTAAGCCCTTTGCTGCCTCTCACCTGTGAAAGCCAGTGGAAGGAGAGCAAATAGGCAGAAGGGCTGACAACAGAGAACTGAGCACATTTCAAACCAGGCATCGCCTCTGGAAATCTCTGAGCTCAGTTCAAAATTGGCTTAAGCTGTCCTCCAGAAAAGTGTTGTTCAACCGCACACACTCCTCCCCCATTTTGAAGTTCAGTACCATCATAAGTAATAATCTCCATGAGAGCAGATCATAACCCACTGTGACCCAGCTTAATGCTTTAAGATTGATTACAATGTTGCTAGACCTGCGGGTTAATAAAGAGGGCACAATTCTGATATAAGTCTATGGAATTGCAAAATGACCGGTGACCAGCAAAAGTCTCAAAATAGTGTAAGTAACAATGAAATGTAGTTGTAAGTTGAAGAATATCAGTGTTCTTTTCAATCTGCAGATATAATCTTTAGAGCCTCAGGTCCTTCACATTTTCATTGTCTAATGTCACACAGCAAGAACATTCAACTATAATTTGGTTAACCATTGATTTCTTTCATATCTGGACTGCTGACAGGATGTTTACAAATTTCTGTAACCTAGAACCTTGACAAATAGATAATAGATCATTTAAAGGAGAGGGAACAAGGTTTTACCTTTCTTTTAAAAAAATGTAACTAGGAATTAAAGCAAGTGACTTCTAATGATCAAACACATATTTAAGAATGTCAACACATTTAGACTTCTCATTATTCATGAGCTTCATGTACAAAAGGAAATATCTAAGCTAGGATAGATAATAATATGTAATATAAATCAGGATTCCTCTAACTTGTAGCTGCGCTCAGAAGATACCTTCATTTTGTCCCAAAACATTTTGCCAATCCATTGTAAAGATACTGCAAAATCATCAACTTGCTGATTCTAACTGATATGTTTTATTTCCCTTGCTTTAATTTTTGTTTTGTTTTTACTTTCTATTTTCCTGCAGTTGAGCAGCTTTGACAGAAAGGCAGGATAGAATTTAACAAATAAATAGATACATTAATATTACTTACATCCAATGTAATCACATATTAACACCAGAGAATTGTTCCTTAAAGCACCAGAGTTCCATCATAAGGATCAGGCTTAGTGAAACAGACATTTACTGCATCTGAAGTAGAATTGTAGCCATTTTGTCTGTTATTTCCCCCCTTTGGTTTAGCTGCCCAGAAACTCACGGCATGGAAACAAAAGCTTATCAGCAATTCGAACACTCAGAAGAAGCACATGCTGAAGGGCCCTAGGACTTTGTTGCTCCAGAATGCAGGTGTGAAAACTGCATATTAGAATGCCTCTACATCAAAAACTACCTATACTTAGAGACCTACTGTTTCAGGGAAAAGGCGAGGTAGAAGCTTTCCATGTTCAGCATTTTTGGGGCTATGGGATAGCATTCAAACATGCAACTGTTAAGCTGCATTCTGAACCAATATAGTCTCAAGGAGAGCAACATAAGCTTTTTTCCTCAATGGTTGAACCAATTCCTAGAGAAGAACAAATCACTTAAATTTGCCCTCTTGAGCGCCTGCCTTTCCTTACTGGAATGATATATCTTCTTCTTCTTTGGCGATCACTTGTAGCCGAGTAAGATTGTCTTCCACAAACACGGTTTTAACAATGAGTCTGTAAGTGACTGTGGATAACAACATTTGGAGAAAGCCTGATTCTTTTCAAATCCATTTTATATCTGTCATTGGATCCCAGATATTAACCCTAAGCACCGGCAGTTGATTTGTCACCTTGTTTTGAAACATTTACAGAATTATAACTTTCTGCACCCTGTCAGAACAACATGCTTGTGTAATGTTCTGGCATAATTCCTTCTTAAGCACTTAAGAGATGGCATAAAAGGTAAAGGGACCCCTGACCATTAGGTCCAGTCATGAAAGACTCTGGGGTTGCGGCACTCATCTTGCTTTACTGGCCTAGGGAGCCGGTGTGCAGCTTCCAGGTCATGTGGCCAGCATGACTAAGCCACTTCTGGTGAACCAGAGCAGCGCACGGAAACGTCTTTTACCTTCCCGCTGTAGCGGTACCTATTTATCTACTTGCACTTTGACGTGCTTTCGAACTGCTAGGTTGGCAGGAGCTGGGACTAAGCAGCAGGAGCTCACCCTGTCGCGGGGATTCGAACCGCCGACCTTCTGATCGGCAAGCCCTAGGCTCAGTGGTTTAGACCACAGAGCCACCCGCGTCCCACAAGAGATGGCATACTTGGTCTTAAATACGCAATGGGTAACTGGATCTTATGTATCCCCCAACCTCCATGTGATTTTTGTCTTCTAATGCTCAGGTTACCTGCGTTACTGGATTCTTCCTCTTTTGAGTACATTTTGCTTCATACTCTGGCCTCAGTTGGAGTTGTTGCTGTTCCTCCTCAAAATCAACTAGATCCCATTCATATTCAAGTCGAGCTTGCCGACGCTTCCAGAACTCCAAGAAAAGTGTGACTGCAATGAATAGAGTATGGTGCAAACAAAAATAAGAATAAGAAATGTCTAGTAGCAACTGAGCAAAACCAACATTCCCAGATGATACTTTCTCTATTATCTTTGTGATGGATTTGATGTCTATACAGTACATCAGTTACATAAAAAACTACTGCAGATTCCCTGGAGAAGCCATTTCTCATTTTGATGGAATTTCTGGAGCTGTGACAAAGTTAGTCAGATTCATTACTGTCTGCATATTTTTGCACATTGAGGGTTGTACCACTCCATGGGATTTGGTGTGCTTAAGAATATGGAAGCGCTGTTCAGTTCCATTGAAACCAATAGGACCCAAGTTATCTAAAACATGCTTAACTTTCTCTGGATCAAACCCAGTGAATTATTGCACATTTACATATATCATTACAGAATGATATTTATAGCATTCATACTATACTTACAGAGGTTGAGATCTAGAGTTGCTCATCCAAGAATAAAAGCAACTCCAATCCAGCAAAGATAATATCTGCCAATTCCCCCCCCCTTTCCCCTGCAATTCCCTCATGTCACCTCCCACATAGTTCAGAGCTGAACACTGGGGGGGGGGGCATGTGGCGCTGTGGTCTAAACTACTGAGCCTCTTGGGCTTGCTGATTGGAAGGTCAGCAGTTTGAATCTGCATGACGGGGTGAGCTCCCATTGCTCTGTCCCAGCTTCTGCCAACCTAGCAGTTTGAAAGCATACCAGTGCAAGCAGATAAATAGGTACCACTACAGATGGAAAGTTTTCCATTGTGCCAGAAGCGGTTTAGTCATGTTGGCCACATGACCCAGAAAGCTGTGGACAAATGCCGGCTCCCTCGGCCTGAAGTGAGATGAGCGCCACACCCCATAGTCACCTTTTACTAGACTTAACCATCCAGGGATCATGTACCTTTACCTTTTACTTTAAGTATACAGAGGGATTCATGAGGGAGTCGTGAGCTCTCCCTCTTTCCCTTTCTACCAGTAGGAGCATCCCGTGAGTGAACATTCACTCACAGGACCAAGTCATAGTCTTGTTGTCAAATGTGCCATTGACTTGCATGCAGTAAGAGACAAAGCTAAAGCTGACCCACGTGGCTTGAGTGTTATTTAAGTAGCACTAACAAATATACTCACCCCAAATGCCCATAAAGATTGCAAAAAAGAGGGTCGCCACATTATCAAACAAATGGGAGTACTGGAATAAAAACACAAATTAACAATTTGAATGAAAACAACCATGGGAAAGCTGTTTTTTAAAAACAAAAATTGCAGCAACGGCTACAGACCTCTGAAGACTCACACGTGGAGTTCAATCTCCAGTAATCACATTTTTGATCACATAGTGGGCACATGATAATCTTTCCCCCAATTTCGGAGTCACATATTTCTTGGCTGAAGGGGACAGATAAAAGATATGTTGTATTTAATTAAGCAATAGACAGATAAATTGTGTTTTTGTGCAGATGCTGATATTTGACTTTACGAAAGGAATATAGAGAACCAGTTCCCTCTCTTTCAGTGTGCAATATTCAGCAGGGCCACACTCACAATAATGAAGCGGCACATAGTTCTACATCTGGATCATACGTTTAAGCTAATGTCTCTGTACAGTGGCTCACAGGATCACTGAACACTGTTACAGAAGGCAAGGGGACTCAAGCTTTTCAAAGACAAAATTGATCCACAACAATTAGCATTGAAGTGGACAGGACAGCTGTCATCAGTCAACTGGTCATGATTCAATCTAACCAACAAGACCATGTTAATTACTCTTACCTACTCATATTTTCATTCATTGTGAATGCACCATACAGGAAACAGATTAATCCAACGATAGCAGCAAAGAACAGCATCTCAGTGTAGAACCCCAGCCAGGCAAAGTAGATTCCAATCCTCTCCCCATAATACTTCCTGCGGGAAAGTAATGTGGAATGGAAAGAACGTAAGGGAATGCAAGAAACAATCAGCATCTTAAAAAGGGGGAGGAAAGGGGAGAAAAGCTCGGAAGACTAATTGCAAATAAAGATACAGGGCTAGATTTGGATGACAAGTTTCCAGGCAAAATTCAAAGGAATGCTACTGAGTTGATTGTAAAACAATTCTCAGAATTTCTTGTTCTTATTTGTGCCCTAATTACATAGATAGCTAGTTTTTGCTCATGTGTTGCCCAGCAACCAGATATGATTCTCCCTCCCCTCATTTTGACTTTAAAGCTGCCTTAGACCCTGGCATGAAGCCATGGAAGTGATGATATGAACATGGCCAGTGACAGCACCTTTAACATCCACAGAATGTTGTTTAGCATAATTGGTCAAACAGCCAGTTGGGAATATGCATATAGAAGCTGAACACCAGAGAAAAGGAATCTAACAGTTCAAAGTACATCCTTTTACAGCTATATATTGACATTGTACCCTTGCCTCAGACAAAATTAAGCATTGGAGGGGGGGGGCGTTACTTGGGAAACAAATCATCTTCTAGCATAGAAGCACACTCACTGCAACCAGAAAAGAGGGCTTTACAGTGTGATGTAAAGAGAAGCAATATTGACACCTGTACTGGGACAGGTCAAAAATCTCATGCAAAACATTTTTCATTCTTTCTGTTTTTCGAACGTTCCAATGATGATCTTGGTACATACAGGTCTCCCAGCTATCTAGCTATATATCTCAATTTCCATTATTTGAAATTGTATCCCATTGGTTACCCTCCCAAAGGAGCCCAAGGCAGCAAAACAAGGCACCAAAATAACACAGTAGTGGGGTTTTTTTAATTAAAAAACAACAACTAAAAACAGTTATATGTCTTCAGTTTCAAGGTTGCTGGAAACCATTTTTTTCAGCCATTAAATGCCTGGTTGAGCAGGGATGTTTTAAGATTCCTCTAGAGTGTTGATAATGAGGGAGACACCCCACCCCACCACGGAGGACATCCCACAAATGGAGAATGGCCAATGAGAAGGTCCTGTCATGGGTCAGCAACAACAGGGCAGTGTGAAGTGGCAGCACCAACAACAGGGTCTCTCCTGTGAATTGTAGTGCCTGAGATAGTGGGCCTTGGGAAAGGTGCTCTTTTAGGCACATGGCCCCCAAGCCTTTTAGGGCACTGGTACTAATACCTTGAATTGGGCCGAAGAGCTCACTGGCAGCCAGTGCAGCACTTTCAGGATTGACGGAACATGGTCCTATCTGGATGCCACACTCAACAATCTAGCATTCTGCGTTAGCTGCAGCTGCCTGACCAATTTCAAGGTCAGTCCCATGTAGATCACACTGCAGCAGTCCAAGCAGGAGGTCATTAGATTGTGGACCCCTAAGGCCATTTTACAATTTTTGAAGTTTCCTTGAACTATGGAATAATCTACAAATTAAAGTAGATATATATTGCAAGGCAATGCAAAAGCTGGTGCTTCCATTAAGACAAAAGTACCCAATTGCTCACCTGATAAGATCCAAGGGCTGCTCTTTGAAAAAACGAGGAAACCTTGCCCATTCTCTGTAGAGGGTGTACCTTTCATTTTCACACTTCGGGTCGTTTGCCCTCTTCCAGTACTGGCACTGTGTCAGCGTGGACAATGAAATAAAGCAGAAATAAAACAGATCAGTAAACGGCAGCATGTGTTCTGGTTCCCCTTAAACATGTACCAGGATAATATATGTAGAAATTGGTATAATTCTATGTATATGACAGGCTGGGGGCGGGTGGCAACAAATAGCTATTTATAGTATTCAGACCAACAACATGGGCATTCCTTAAGAACAAGCACACTTAATCTGAAACTTGGGAACTGCATCTCTGCCAGGTCTAAATAATACATACTTTAAAACTTAACTGACTGTGGGGCAACAACAAGCAGGAGTGGATGGCAGGGAACTAACTACACTGGCACCCCTGTGGCTTACCAGGAGGGAGAAGGGAAGGGGCAGTGCAACAAAGAAACTGGGATTGTGCAGATGTACTCCTCCTGCCAGCGTATCATCAGAGCACAAACCTTCCTGCTGCCTGCCTTCCCCACCCCGCCCTGGCAAGTTGCAGTGATTCTAGTGCCAGGAACATGTTCTGCTTACTCTCCCAGCAATTAAGGCACTAATTATTTTTCAAATTCTCAAACTATTTAGGCATAGAAGTTCAGGAGTCTTGCAATACGCAAGCCCAACTTTCAATTCTGTTGTGATAATATTCAAAGTGCTGATCAACTTGTATTCAGGAAACCCTATATCCCATCTTGATCACTGAGATCATCAGGAGCCATGCCCATCTTACAGAGGCCCGACTGGCCTCTACCAGAAGCCAGGCTGGTTGCAAGCAGTGAAAACAGTCTTCTAGCAAAGATTCAGCAAACACCCTTGCTTTTGATTCTGATGTTTCGCTTGAAGGAATCTCTACCTTGTTATGCAGGCAGGTCCATGCAACTGCGTAATTTTTTTGGAGCAATTAGGAATTAAAAATACCGTTTTGTACTATTTTATATTACATTGCATATATTGTTGCATTGTATATATTGCTGTCCTTTGTTATATCACATAACCGGCACTGTGCAAGTATTTTTATGACTACATAAAAGGCCACGATTTCCTAACATAGTTTCTAAAAACAATTATGCACCCCATTCATATATAAACTGCTAAAAAGAAAATCCAAAAATGGGCTCCAGTGAAGCACTTGTTGTATGCCGCCAGAGGGCGCTTTGACACTAAACTTTAACCCTGCAATAACTATCCCTGCAATAACTATCCCAGTTTGACAGCACAGTTGTAATTAACCTTCTTCCCCTCCTCGCTCTTTTCCCGGGGCTTGCACAGGTGTTATGTTACGTTATGTTATATTGTAAGCAGTTTCCCATAGCAGTAGTCACAATTACAGAGAATCACACATACTATGTCTTCCCCAGGAGGTGTTACTTAAAAACAGATAAAGTGAGGTTTGGAAAACAGGGAAGTACTCTGAAATGAATGAATGAATGACAAAAAAAATACCTACATCATGAAGAGGATAAGCAGCAGTATAGGTGCCATTATTCAAGAGCCGTTTGATTCCAAACTTCTTTTTCCCTTCTTCTGTTCCATATGGACACCTTGTTAAAATATAGAAAACCTAAAAGAGGGAGAGAGAAACCAACCCCACAGTTTAAAATGAATATACTATGATTATCAGGTAATCTACTGGTAATTTTCCTTCACAACTGTTCTTCACTGCAGTGCGTGGATACAAAATATTTTCCACACTCCAAAAATAGATATGTTAGTCAAATAAAATTATATTTGACCTTTAAACTAATTTATTAACCCATTACCTTTACAGACTAAAATACTTCAATATAAGGCTCCAGAACGTTGAATTGCATCTCATGTGTGCTGATGTGTCGGAAATACTCACAATTCTGTTCCTGACAGACGGGGAGAAAAATGTATTCTCATCTTCAATGAGGTAGAGTTCCTGCCTTTCTTTGCTGAATGGGGCTGTGAAGTAATCTGGTTCTGGGTGCATCACAATTTCAGGCAGTCTAAATGGCCAAGATATCCAATCGAAAGGGTTTTCTGTAGTACAAGGGATATCATTTTCTTTGATGGGCATTTTTATGCTCAGCACTTCAGCATATGTGATCAGAACTTCCCATGGCGCATGAATCTTCACAAAGTAAGTTTTCCCATTGTCAGATTCCTACGAAGGAAATGATAAGGTTTGAGGTTAAAACAGGCAATACTTTCATATTGATACATCTATAAAGAAGCTTCACATTAAATACAGATATCATCTATGGGAGCTAGGGCCACTGCATCCACGTGGTAAGCAAAAACAAGAATACTTTGGGTGGTACTGAACTCCTGTGACCTGCCAGTGCAAAGATTTCCACATGGGTAATAAGACTTTCTCTCCTTTTTTGCACCCTCCACTATGAGCATCCTATGCCCTCACTAAATCTGCTCCAGAAGGTGAGGTAACCCCTGGAACATATTTTTTTTGGGGGGTGCAGAGTGAAGAGAAAGGGAGAACATTTCATTACCCTTCGAGAAATCCTTCCTCTGATGAAATGAGAGACTTAGTGCTACATTGGACTCTAGCATAAATATTTATTTAGCCTTTACCACCATTTTTAATCCACCATTACAAGCGTTTCTGGGCGATATACATTTCTTAAAAAACAAAACACCATAAAATATAAACATGCAACATAAACCTTTAAAATATTTTTTAAACTTCAGACCAGAAACAAGCTCTAAAAGGCATATTTTGAACATAATGAGAAAGTGCAGTTTAGAAAGCATGTGCTTCTATTCTATGTCAAGCCGCTCTGTTTGCTATTCACCTCATTACTCTTCTAGGTATTTGATAGTATTTCTTTTGGACTATGATGTATAAAATGTTAAGTTACATTTAAATCTCGCTGAAACCAATAGTGCTAACTTGTTCTATTAATCCCAGTGGGAGTCAATCATGACTAATCATCTACAGGCAAAATGGGAGGATAATCAAGACCAAGAGAAGTTAGTTGTGCTCATCAGAAGTGGTCCGTATTCTGTCTCCATACAAAACCTTTATTTAGACCACATGCCTGAAGATTTTCTGCATGTACAACTTAATGCTCTTCTAGCCCTTCTTTTTCCTTTATTGTAGGCCTTTAACAAACCTCCCACTGATGATAGCCGAAGGATTACAGCTTATCAACAAGATCTACAAAGAGGCTCTATTTCAATTGGGCGACCCTTCTCATCTCCCCGTACCCCCGCACAACAAAGGATAATGGGCCCAAACAAACCCTAGGCACACCTGGAATCAGAAGATCTCATAATCAGAGCAATTGCCATACTTTTGAGTTAAGAAAGTGAAATTCCTCGGCCTTGAAACTACTCGCTGAGACTTCTCCTATAGAAGCATTGTTGTTGCAGCTGGACTGTGCATCTCCTGATCCCAGGTATGTCTTGGGCTTGCCAGGCAGAGGAGCAGGGATATCACTGTAGCACCTCTCCATGTTGTTAGGCACTGCAGGGTTTTGGATGACACCTAAAGGTCACAGAACTTCTCCAGGAACTGAATACATCACTATTATTTTCTGATCAGCATCTAGCATGCTGTTAACAAACAAATCTTAAACATGCTGGCAGGGAGGTGAAAGATGCCGCAATTCAATCGACATTCTATTTCCTAGCAATTTCCAAGCAGAGTTCTTCATCCCCCCATCTAGTTTAAGCATATGTTCAAGAAGTAAGAAGGCACAATAATGCTTCGTTACCTTCTTGTCTTCAGTTTCTAGTTCCAGGCCAGCCTTCTCTAGATTGTTCTCAAATTCTCGTCTCCGTTCCTGAAGGAAAACAAAAAGCTCTTTACTTCTTATTAAAATAGTAGGTGCATTTAAATCGATAAATACCTGTTATGTGTCAAAGAAATGTTCTCAAGGGCAGCCCAATACAAAGCACAGTGCAATAGTCTAAAAATGATATTACCATTCTCTTGGTGACAGTAACCACATCTTGGGTTAAAAAGAAGAGAGATCATAGCCAGCTTACTAGCCAAACTGTCAACCGGCCATGTCTGCTCCCTGGACATCCAGCAGCAGAAAAGGCATATCATTTAAAGGGTTGTTTTTCTAGCTAGATGAAAATGTCCCTGCCTTAGGTGACCATTTTGCATTGTTTTCTGTTTTATGGTAGGACTATAAATCACACCAACACTTTAGTTACTTTTGGCAGTAACTAAACAAACAAAAATAATATTTATCAGCACCTATTTAGAATGACTTGAACGGTTTCCTTAACAGACTTCCTGTTTTATATTGTAGACCCATCCCAAGTTCACCCTCAGGGTAACAGTTGAAGGTAGGCTTCAATTTCCCATGGTACAGTTTTATGAAGATCAAAAATAGGCATCAAAGTCCAGTGATTAAAGTTAATGATTCTGAAAGAAGTTTAATATAATGAACAGATAATACATGTTATCTTAGAGAAAAGTTGTGCTATCAATGTAAAAAGAAGTTCACTTTCAGATAACAGTGCTGTTTGCTCCTAACCTTCAAACAGTCAGCAAAGTGATAACATGTTTACAGTGTATGTATTATAATTCAGGGGTTCTCGTGCAAGGCTTTCATTTTGTTACGACTCTTTGGAGGGCATCATCAATAGTCTCCCTTTCACATCTCTTAGATGTCCTACATTATAAAGCATGTTTTGCATTTGTGATTACTGCCTACAAGATGGAACAGTCCACATGGGGGGTGGGGAGACAAACAGAACAGGGCCTTTTATTTTAGGCAAATGATTACTACCATTTTGGTACTTTAGTAAAATCAACAAGACTAGCACCAGGAAAATCTACTAGGTGGACAAACAATAAGTGAAAATGATATGTGCAACAGTGGATAAATTCCCAATAAATTCCAAATAAATATGCTTAGGCATGCACTAGAGCGTGTTGGCATGCAGCATTGAACCAACTCTTTCTATTAGACAGCATTTCAGCTCCTCATTGATACATTTTAAGGTTCTGCTGAAAATGGAAATGATTTTTAAAAGTTTTCTTTGTATGAAAAATTAAGTGCTCCACTAGCATATGTCTGCAAAACAAAGCAAGCATACAGACTTCCAGACTGTGCAGCTCTCAGATGTTTTCCCAAGAATGCTTCTATTCTTAGCCCACAGAACATTGCCAAGTCACTGTGCTGTAGAAAGAGCAATGCATGAGATTTCCTAGCAGTTACTGTGCAGTATGACACTGCATGCATTTCCCCCCCAATCCTTAACAAAGTATCAAGCCCAAATCCATTATAATAGCAAAATAAAATAATAATCCATGGTTAGAGTTCACTGCTTAAACAGGAGACGTTGCTAAGTAAACCTTTACGTCTGACAACGCCTCCAGCTTTGCTTCTCCCAATGACATATAATTGGACTGAATGTATTCAGGCAGTGGGCAGATGTTAAAACTAATATCTCTATTAAGATTAGTCAACCTTCTAGTTTATTTCCATAGAGTAACCCTCACAAATATTCCAGATGATCTTCAGTCTGAGAGTTTTTAACGCAGCAAAAAGAAAATCACTTGCTACAGTTCCATGGTTTGGGCTTTTTAAACCAACAAGAAGTCAAGCTGGGGTTGACACAAACTGGGACAGGAAAGCAGTCTCTCCATATATATATATTTAGGACTATATATATATATATACTATATATAAAACCATATATATATATATATGACTAGTCTGCTATCAGCAATGGCCTTGATGCTGTACTAAACTCTCCATTCTTCAGAAAGGAAGGCCTCACACAGTCTCAAAAAGAAAGGAACACAATAAACAACTCCCCAAGGAAGAAGACAGTGAAACTTGAGCAGTGTTGCAGAAGCCCAGTCTTGCTGTCTGAATGCAACTGAAAGATTTAACTATGGATCTGCAAACTATCTTGGGTGCATAGGCCTCATGTACAAATGGTTTCTACAGAGGTGAGACCACAGGATGATCTCTTTTCTAAGGATTACATACAGAATATGTGTATGTTATCTATGCATTTTTTTAATTGAGTAATTCTGTGCAGTAAAGGTTCTAATTAGCAAACTTAAGGATAACATGCCATGTATTATCTCATCTCTTTACATTGCGTTCTGAAAGCCATGCAACAATTGAGATGCAAAAATAATATGACATATGCAGTGCTTTAAAAACACACCCAACCATCCTATAATAGAAAAGTTATCATCAAAATGCACAAGAACAGAAATATGACAGTGCTCAGTCTGTGGCATTAGTGATATGCTACACTGGATAAGGGCATCCAAATTACTCACAGTCTAATCTTCAAACTGCCACCAGAAAACATGCAGAACAAGTCAATATAAAAAAGCAAAGGCAACCTAAAAAGCCAAAAACTTTCTAGTGTTGCATATTACAATGAGACTTAAGGTCATGTAAGCAAACCCCAGGAAACTGCCAAATGATTCAGTGAATGATCCAGTTATTCAGTCACTGGGGCCTGCAAGTCTTCTGCATTATTGCCTAAGACCATACAGACTTGTATGTTTAGCAACAGCTATTAGTCACATTGTGGGATTCATACATTGCTCACCTGATTCCACATAAGCCAGGGTTATAGCCAACTCAGTTAAACTCACTGAAATTAATGGACAAGACTAATTTAGGCCCATTAATTTCAATAATTAGAACGTAGTTGGATATAATCCCCTGGTCTTCAAGGGACAATAATATTATCAGTACAGGATGGTAGCTGGGATCTCTGAAGTACTGTTGTCGCAAGAAAATCATGTAGGGTTACACCACCAGAAAAGAAACCCTGACCAGGAAACCAATTTAGTGTACAATCCCCTCTATTCATTGCCAAGTGATTGATTAGCAATAGGCAAAGCTGTCTCTGCTTTCTCTGTAGTGCAGAGGTAGCCAGTGTTGTCCCCTATAGATGTTGCTGATAACTGGGTCAGGGATGATAGAAACTGTAGTCTAAGCATCTGGAGAGCTCCACATTGGCTATCCCTGCTGTTGTGTATAACAGCTATATATGGAACAAGATGTGGTACAAAGTACCGAGGACAAAGTTCCCACCCCATCTTAGAAGATAAGATTATTTCTATGCTTTTGTGGATAAGGAAATCTAAATTGCTTACAGCCTGGTTCTCAAACTACTCTGGCAGCATTGCGAGTCACTAGATGGGTAAACAAAAAACATTTGCTGAAATGCTGTTGTTTATGATTAGTGTACTGGACCCTGAAAATATATAGTATCTTATGTAAGCTATGCAACAATATATGTTTCCAATACATTCGGAAATAAATTGTTTTGATTATAAAGGCAAGTCACATTGAGATGGAGGTCTATTTAATTTTTTCCTAACAGAGTTTCAGGGCTCCATGACCTTGAGTTTTCTTGCAAAAAGTCAGTGTCTAAGCATACATTCCTCTCCTACATTGAGAGAGGAATCCAACATTGAAGTGAGGCAATCCTTCTGTCAGGTCAAGCATTTTGGCTTGCCAAACAAAACAATTCCCCCTCTTCTCCCCACACATGCTGTTTCAGTGTTTCTCCCAAAATCCCCCAGAACCAATTTCAGGGGGCACACGGAAAAGGGAGTGGATGTCCTTGCACAGAGCTTCTGCTGATAGGATTCATCAGTTGAATCCCTCCCAGAGACTTTTCTACCAGCAAGGGAATGAGGGATAGACCAAGAACACTACAGCATTCCCATTTGTGCAATGAAGGACCAGTTGGCTAATTTCATACAATTAAGGGAAGCACATGTGCTTGACATGACTGCAAGCTCCAACATCAGGAGGAACTGCAAACAATCTTAATCTTGAGTCATTCCCTATGTCTGTTGTTGTTTCACTGAATATTTGAAGGGCAACACAAACTATGATTCTATGAACTGTCCAATTACACAAAATAGTGCTCAGACCTGCAGTCAAAATGGTGCTATCGTCATCAAAGAAGCTGCTGCTCCCCACCCTTTCTTTTAGGATAACCACACGATTGCTGCAGCTCAACTGGCACCACTCAGCACATCTATACCTTAAAAGCTATATTATGATTATTTAGAAGATATATACAGGCATTAACAGAACTTTACACAGATAATATTAAATATATAGAGCAGAATCATTAACAGTGAAGAATGCAACACTTAGAATGGCATCCTGACACTTCTGAAGAAGTAGATGCCAACTTAGAACAGAAATTCAGACAGAACTACATCATGCCTCAGTAAATGGCTTGGAGCTGGTATTTTCTGATCATACAAGAAGCAAAAACAGGAAGCAACCATTTGTTTCCTAAGTTGCTCTATCAGAAAATGTCATATAAGAAACTTACCACTTTTTTTTCTCCTTCTATTTTTGGATCATCTACATATGCAAGTACGAAGTCTATTCGCCGGACACCATCCCTGAAGAAAACAGAGTCCTTGCTTTGATGGCGTTTATCAATCTATATAGAATATAATGTACACTATTAATATTTGTGGCTGCTTATAAACATGGCAGAAAACCACACATCTTCCAGTTTGTTTCAAGCACTCAGTCTCCTATTTCCAAAAGAAGTATGAGATTTATGAAATAACTTGAGGGAAATGCTTCATAATTTATGGGTGTAATGTGTGTGTGTGTGTATGCACGTGCGCGCACACACACACACACACACTCTTCCCCTTTACATTTCCTCGCATTTGCCCTCTTCTATTAATCACTAATTTCCAGGCAGTCACTCACACTACTGACCCCTCTCCATGCATGAACAAGTTCACACACTCCCATACATCACAGATGTTTTCAAGTCACACATTTGACTGAATGAAATATATGAAAAAGAACATCTGAAGCCCATTGCACATAAATGTTATTCACCTGCCATACATCAGACGTGTTAAATGCAACATACAATGACAAAAGACAACAATCTTTAAATTCTTTTTACATTTTGTCTAAATGTATGTTTTTAGAAGCAACTGCAAACACTGAAAAGGTTATTTTAGTCCTAGCATAATTTTGTACTGTAAAATAATAACACTCTGCTGTTAAAACAACACACTTGCAATATGTGAAAGCAGGAAGCACAGCAGTGGTTCTGAAAGTAAAGAAAATCTGTCATTGTTTTTTAAATAAATATTTAAGAAGGCAACAGACGCTTAGCAACAAAATCTAGTTGACTTTGGATTCTGCAGTAACAAATGTGGGAACAAATTTGGTACATAAGTAATGTTATAGAGGTACTTGCTTCCATAAAGACTCCATAAATCTGGAGCGTGTCTTTTTCAGCTAGTTTTAATTTTATTTTATGCACTTAGACGATTACTATTAATCACATAGCTGTAAAGTAAGTTTCCTTCTGATTTGCTTCATAATTGGCTTGAATATTCTGAATTTCATTAGTGAAGTCTCAGGGCTTGCCCATGAATTCTCCAACAAAACTTGGAAAGACCAAGTCAAGGAAAACTCCCTGTCAGTAGCCTTCTATTGCCAACCCTCCAGTACTGTGTCTCCCTCCCCTTCCCAAATTTACTGTGCAAGGAAATAGTGAGGGGAAACAGTTGGCGAGAAATTGGCGATTATATACCCTGGACAGCAGTGGGTGCCTTAAGCTAGAGGCTTCCTTTACTGCAAGGCCTTCTTAAAGCTATCTCATTACCAGAGTAAATTTGAGGGGGTTTTTTGCACCATGTCAAGTCCCTTATGAGTTAGGCTAAACTTCAGTAGGGACCTTGGATGGCATTGCAGGCAGGCAAAAAAATATTTTTATTTAACCAGACATTGGCCTTCTGAGTCATTCTTCTGGGCTGCTCTGTGTTTTAAACTGAATTATGTTTTTAACTTGCTTCCGCTGTTTGGATTTCTTATCTGATTTTACTGTACTATTGTTTATGGTGTGTGCAGTCAAGCCAATTGATTTTGTGGACTTTAGTGCTATCTGCCTTTGTAATTTTTTTATGGATAGGTGGAGAACAAATGCAACAGACAATAAAATCCTAAGTTTACCTTTCTGAATTCCACTAGACTTGGTGCCATCAGTAGTAGCAGCAGCAGCAACAACCGTATATAGAAATTTAGGCTATATGCAATGCCAAATGCTTTGCAGCACTGGTTTTATTCATTCTCACAATTATGCAAGGTAGCTCTTCATTTTCATTCCACTACGAAGCCCATATTATTATTTATTCTGCTAGCTGAATTTTGGGTGTGTGAGAGAGACACACAGAGTTTCAAGTGTCATTTGCACCTTTTCATAATTTTGCTACAATGTCATATGTTGCTTTTATCACACTGTTGAACTGACTCTTAATTGTGCTTTTTGTTCCATTTTATCTTATGGGATATCCCTGAGCACTTTATTTCTGTGCGGAAAGCAGACTCATAAATCACAACAGCTGCTATGCAAATGTTCATCTAATGCACATTGGTTGGGTGTTTGAAGGAAATTTGGTCCAATACAGCAATTGCAGTTTCTCCCAACATATGCATGCAAAACAGAGCTTAATTTAATCTACAATTAGGTTTGTATTCAGTACCTTGCAGTTGGTACTCAGTACCTTGCAATGATTAGAATGAGTCTCTAGTAGTATCAAGTTCACCCTAATACAAAGTTTTTCAATGCTGAAGAAACCCCATCAGAAATTAAATATCATATAATGTCCAATTGTCAAATAATTGGATAAGGTTTGCAGTCATGTAGGCAGAGCTTTGATGCTGTCATCAAGTTTAACATGAAATTATGTTAGGGTGGCTGTGGGTTTGTTTTGTTTTAAGAAACAAGCTAAAAATCACTGATCATTATTGGGGGGGGTTTTCTGGTCTAAATTCTGTTCTTGTTTATATAATGCAAACAACTATTCTTAATTTAAAGATTATTGAGGCTACAAATTTAATTCCCAATTAACCAGAGACATCACATAGTGAAGCTTGTTATCACTGCAGCCATCCAAGCTATTAGCAGTATCAGCTCTCTATGGTTTACCCTGAGACGTTGCTTCAGGAACAGATTGTATCTCCTTCCAGCCTTCTGGAACAACCAACAGGGAATTAGCATGTCACCACACTATTTTTAAAAAAACCTAAATCTACAATTGCGTAAAGTCAGGAACAAGACTCATTTTTCCAGATCAGAAAGTTATGGCTGCAGTAATAAAACCTGCCATAATAAAGAATACTTATTTCAAAGACAATATATGCTTACATAGACCTCAAGTTCTAATATGTATATCATACATTCAAGATATCATTTTTGGAGATCTGGTTCTTAAATTCTCCATGACACATTCACAACAAGAAAACAATGTGCTCCAAGAGACACCCATAGACAAATACAGACTGAGCATTTTGCATTCAATTCCTGTTATCGCAAGAGCTGGAAGTTTACCATCAAGGTAATTTGATGCCAGGAAGCTATAGCTATACCTGCAGACACCCCAAGTTGCATTTATGTGTCCACACTGAAATATATGTGATGAAAGGGAATTGAACTTGCCCATTGTATGACTAGTCTGTCCACATACGTAAAAAAGAAAAAAAGGTAAAGGACCCCTGGATGGTTAAGTCCAGTCAAAGACGACTATGGGGTTGTGGTGCTCATCTCGCTTTCAGGCCGAAGGAGCAGGCGTTTGTCCACAGACAGCTTTCCAGGTCATGTGGCCAGCATGACTAAACCATTCCTGGCACAACGGAACACCTTGATGGAAACTAGAGCACATGGAAACGCCATTTACCTTCCCGCCGCAGTGGTACCTATTTATCTATTTTCACTGGCATGCTTTCAAACTACTAGCTTGGCAGAAGCTGGGATAGAGCAACGGGTATTCACCCCATCGTAGGGATTTGAACTGCTGACCTTCTGATTGGCAAGCCCAAGAGGCTCAGTGGTTTAGACCATAGTGCCACCCACGTCCCTTTCTGTACACATAGCAGTAAAGGAGAACTTTCAGAGCTTTGTAGTGGGCACTGCAGTTATTGCTATCAGAAGTATTTTTCGAAGGAAAAGGAGGCATTCCATGCAGGGGCGAGAGTTTTCTCTGAGGCAGTTTCCCATGCTTCTAGTTACATGCTCCAAAGCAAAATTGGAAGAATGGCTATGCCCTCCAGTTCATAAAGCTAAGAACAGATAAAAGCCTCACATTTTATTTCTGTCCTGAGGCTTTTACCACAATATGATTAAAACCAGTTTCAGTGCCCTCTTATTTAAAAAGTCAAAGCAAGATCCAAGTTGTCTGTACCCTAACAGCTTAGTAGGTTGTGTACAAGCTTTTAGCACTTCATTCCCTAAAGGTAGCTGCTAACTCCAAAACAAATAAGAGGTCAGCCACCAGTAACATAGCTAAGAAAAGTAAATTTTGGTTGCTGCCTCCACCACCAAATTATATTAACAGAAGTGTTCTTGGTGTTTCTTTTTTTAATAATACTTGCTTATACATTTATTATATCAGATGAATACTGTAAGAATTATTTGCTGCATATGCCACTGGTTCCCAAACCCTTTCCCCTGTGGACAACTTAAAAATTACTGAAGTCTTGGCAGACCATTTATTGATTTTTCTGCCTGTTGTAGCAATCGTGATGCACTGTGCTAGATGCTGGATGATTTTTAATTGCTTTTTTATTGCTTCATTTATTTCTTATCATGTATTTTATTGCATTGCAGGTTGCATGCCATAAATTTCAAATTGTAATACAATAAAATACATAAAAAAGAAGCAATAAAAGACAATTGAAAATAAATATGAGTGTTTGATGCAGACATGCTGTGGATCACCTGGATAAAGCTCATGGAGCACTAGGGTCCACAGACCACAGTTTGGCAATCTGCACATGTACAGTACAACAAATCACTTCAGAAATAAAATTGGTGCACAAAAAGGAGATGATGTTCATGATGCATATGCACTGTATTGTAAGATAACCAAGATACCACCAAAGTCTGCTAACATGATTTTGGGATGGAAGTGTGAGCAATCAACTGACCAGAAATACCAAGGAAGAATATATGGTCATAAAAAGCAGTAAAAAGTCGCGGAGATATTTTTCCAGATCTTTAAATTCACAACACACGGTGTTGGAGTTATATTTCACAATTACAAACTTTATATTGCTTAATTGTACAAAATATTATATAACATATTAATTAAAACCTGTGGGGTTTTTTTTAAAAAAAAACATAGTTTAGGGGTACTCTCATTTTCCTATACATATTGAAATACTGCCCCTCAATGAGGCCAAACTTAGATTCACAAAATGTTTAGGGGTATGCGTACCCCAGCGTCCCACTAGGGGGAAAAGCACTGATTAAAACCATAAAAAAGACAAACATTCATGGAAGTTATTAGGTAAGGAAAAAAACTAAAATAGGCCTACTTCACTTAAGCACATCAAATAAATAAATGTAAATACAGAGTTATAACTTTCTCTTGGCTCAGAATACAAGGAGCAGTACAGTAAATAATGATAAAGATCCATCCATCGGGCACCACAAACCGGATAAATAAATGGAAAAGCAACACCAGTATTAGTAACACCAATACACAAGAATAGTAAGAAGTCAGCGGCCACCTCATATAATTTCATCCGTGAAGCTAAGGAAATCTAGGTGTACCTGAAAGGCAGACTGCCTCAACTCCATTCAAAATTCATTGGATTAAAAGCCATGTTAAGAATGTTAACAGATACCATTTTTATCCTGCTTTCACTAGCTGCATATTGTTACAGTAATTAATAAAGCAAAGCATTACACTTTCTTGGACTTCATTTTTCAAACTGATCCATTAGGGACTCCCCACTGCCCAACATTTATGCTTGCTTCAGTACAAGACGAGGGGGTGTTGAAAGTCCATTTATTCAGAAGGGGCATGCAGACTCCCACTGACAGATGAATGAGCAAGCTGGTAGAAAATAAACCCAAAGTCCTGTTAAAACAGCAGAAAAGATCCAAACACATAATAGCAACTCATTCCACAGCAAACCCAAGAAATTAAAAAAAAAAAACTTTCCAGTTTTCAGCACTGTGTGGAAATTTTATGCAGATTTGTCACTTCATATTTAGTGTACTCTCTGTCCTTGATACCACTGTCCATTTTAATGATTAAAATGAATGCCAGCAAAATGAGAACACTAGGCAATTACAGAGACAAGAATTGCTTTATTTTTGGATGGACAGAGACTCCATATCTAAAGGTTAATCGCTTATTCTAAAGTGTCATTCCAGGAACAGACATTACCCTTATTTCTGAAATCTTCATACTGTAACTCAAAGGAAGAAAATCAAGGGCCACCATTGCATTTGCAGAATGGCTTTTGTTCTAGTAGAGGTGTCTACTAATATAAGAGAAAGGGGGGGGGTCATTGTTGCTGATTTCTCATGCAGTCTCCCATTTTACCTTCCACACTGTTCTGGAGAGTCTATTGCACTCATTGTTGAAGGGGTATCCAAAATATCTTAAGAAAACTGGAAAATATTTTTTTTGCTGTTGTTGCATTTTGACATACAGTAAGAGACAACACTATTCATGCAGGGATGCATAACCACTGCCACTGATTGCTGCTTACCCCTTGAAGATCAGAGATGAGTAATGTAGTCTCAGTGGTACTTAGGCTCTGCCAGTGGCATCATGAGAAAAATATAATGGGATTAGTGTGGATGCAAAAGCTGCAGGGTGCTTAAAACAAAAAACCCAGCAGTAACCATGAAGCCTTGCAGGGTTTGTATGTGTTTTTAAAGCTGCAGTGAGTAATTTCCAGTTTAATTCTCAAGGAAACAATAGACTGCCATAGCCACCTGTCAGCTTTATTTCCTGGGAGGAAATAAAGTGAGGAAACTTAAACCACAGTAATTTATGTTTTACGTGGTTATTATCTTCCTGTTTGCGAACAGGAATAAAAGTTTCTATCTAATAATCTTTTGGTTATTCTGCTGTAAAAAAATAAAAATAGAAAAAGGCTATGGTTTTGATAAGAGTTTCATACCACATTTGGAAATGATGGGGAAAGGAAGATTTCTTTACATTTTTATCATAATAAATTTCCTGTCGGTCACTAAAAGCTTTGGGAAATTTCTATAATCTAGCGGTCTCTTGAATACAATCAAATTTGCTATGTAAATTAGAAGTTTGCTGTATACCTCAAGAAGTGAGTAAATTTGGTATGAAAAATAATCTAACGTTTTATGCAATAACAAACAAATGCTTACGACAAGGTTTTCCAACAGTGATCTCAAAACATGAGTTTAAACTGGCAGTCGAGCGGGGTGTATAGTGGTGATGCATGAAGATATATAAAGACAAACGTTTGATGCATTAGTTTCAAATACAGGTAGGGAATATGAAACAAGATGTGCAAATTTTTCTAGGTTAATTTCAGTCCAGTGCATACGAGTGCATGAGTAAGTTACAGTATTAGACAATAAAAGCCAGATGGTGATATTCATCCACAAATTAAACTGGATTCAAGTTTGTCATTGAGCATCTAGCACAAAAATTCAAAGAAGTGATCACCTTTGTATTTAAATTAGATAAAGATGTTCAACAGAATATATTGGATAGTAACTGTTGCAGCAAGCAAAGTGGATAAGGTATTTATTATGTGAAAGTATGGCAGCCAAGCAGAACTAATTTTAGGCTAACATTCATCACAATAAATATTACTCAAAATGCATACTCATAAGACATTTTGGTAATGGCTTATCCATAACTCATCTTGTGTACTATGCATTGCATGTAAATTATTGTAAAGAAATCAGAATTTAAAATGCTGAAAAAACTTAATTGAATTTGCAAATATCTGCCCTTTTATTATTAAGCTACCATATTTATCATATGTGTAGCCTCGATGCAGCTACTGAATTTACATTTGCTTTGCAACCAGAAGCCAAAAAAAATACAATTTTAGTATCAGATTTACACACAGGCTTTACCCAATAAAGCAAAAATACATTTGCCTTGAAATATAATTGCAAAAGTGAGCAGAATCATATTGCCCTCCCCATTCCTCTACAGTGTGTCTTGAACTTGTATCTCATTTTCCAGCTCTATGCCCTATGGCATTGGGCATTATTGCTGTCAATATGTGGCTATTATGTTTAAAAAGAAACAGTACCTGTGCACAGTTTATGGTACAAAGGAAAATAAACTTCTATGTGCAGGGATACATACACTGGCCTCTTCGTGCTTGTTCAACGGTGGTTCACACACTGGAAGATGCTGCGACATCATTATATCTGGCAGGTGTGTATTTTGTGAGAGAACAGAGATTGACTCCTCCTACATCTGGTTAACATGGGGACATCTCTGCAACCTCAACCTCAAATCTGCCTCACTCCACTGCCATGGACGATGGGGTGTGGTGGTTGCTGTTACTCTATTTTGGAGCAGAGTGTTTTTCTGGGATGGTGAGTCTAGAATATGGCAGATGTTGTACCAGTGTAGTGAAAGCACAGCTTTTCTCCTGGTGTATGGGAATAAAGGATTGTTCTTCCCACATAGTACGGTATATGCCCTCAAATACTACCACGTGTTTAAACTCATTAAACTTATGATAGGTATGTGATTCGCAACCTGAACAATTTCACTAAAGTAATGAAGAGAATATATATTTACAAGAACAAGTACATACAGTATCCAAAGTATACAACAAGTGGGTTACCAATATCAAATCAAGACTTTCTAATAATCAGCCTAAAGCAATAAATAAATAAATACAGCGCTAAATATATATAAAATAAATACAGTTTAAGTTGGGTTGTTAAAAAAACACTTTACATTAAGATATAGGAATCTGCCTTGAACTAGGTTAGACTATTTGTCCAGCTATGCAAAGAAATGGCTAGCATTAACTATGATGAGAACTGTGAATTAATACTTTTATTAATATATCACATGGGAATACAAACACAAGGCATAGATGGCTTTCTCATATCTAAATCACATAACATTATTTGATTTCATGTAGCATTCATCAGCTTAATCATCTAACCAATTCACACATGTAACTAGGCTTCTTTATGCAGTGTCCTAGATTAGGGGGCACTTGCACAAAACTGCTGCGCAATCGAATTTAGGGTGGACAAACTTTCCTGGCTCCATTTTGCTTGTCTTCTGTAGACTGGCAAGGCCCTGCATTCCACTCTTTTTGTCTTCCGCTGTCCCCTATATAATTGATTCCTTAGAAGCCAATTTCTAAATATTAAGGTTTATGCCTTCCCTGAAAGGATTAATGGCAATCTAATGAGGTTTTCACTTACCCACAGCATTACTTCCCTTTCAGTATCAAAAATCACATTTTATAAAACGAACTGTGCCCACAGTTAAACCTTACCTCAGAGTTGCAAGGCAGTTCTGAATCTGTGTTTGATAAATTTTCAAATAAAGGTCCATTACTTTCTTCACCTAAAGAATACAGGAATAAAATTCATATTTACCTCAAATGTATGCTCCCCCCCCAAAAAAAAAAATCATGTTTGAAGTTAAAATAAATATTTAGAGCCCAATATTATATATGTTTACTCAGAGCTAAGGCTTTCTGAGTTTAATGAGGCTTACTCTTTCTGTTCACATGTACAAACCAATAGGTGCCCTTGGCAGTCACATAACAACACAGACAATTCTGGCAGTGTATCCATGCTTGCAATTCTGGGATACTGATTTCATATTTTAGTAGCTACATCCCGAGAGGCCACGATCATCCACAATAAGTAGAGCATCATGTATAGCAAAGGGAGGACAAGCGTGTTTTGCATCATAGGAAGCTGCCTTCTACTGAGTTATTGGTCAGCTAGCTGATTTGTGATGGCTCTCCACCCCTGCCTGGAGATGTCAGGGACCTTCCACACATAAGGCATGTGTTCTGCTAAAGCTACAGCCCTTCCTCACATCTGTGCAAACATACTGAATTGAGGCAAAAGTTAGGACAAAGGTAGGAGAGTGGGGGAGAGGGCGGGGGAAGGTGGGCGAGGAAGGGCTTGGCCTCCTCCATCCCTTCAAGATGCAGGGGTGGCTCAGCCCCATCCCAAAAGACATTGGGGGGGGCTGCAGGCACCTCAGCCCTATAAAGTTGGCACCTATGTGTACCAGCAACTCTGTTCAACACTCCACATAATCCACGAAGGTTTATGCCATAATAAATGGGTCAGTCTTTGAGGTGCCACAATATTTTTTTTTTTTTGCTGTTTTTGCTGCAACAGACTAACATGTCAACCATCTCTAAATACATTGTTGTGCTTGTTTTGTAACCATTTCCTGAAAATGCAACTGGCCTTTCATTGTTAAAGATTCAATGAAGAATACTTTTTTTGTGCTTCTCCAAGCAATGGGATCTTGTCTTTTGTACACTGAAAGAAGTATGAACCTTCAAGCAAAGATTATCCTGTATTTTGGCCACACTTTTACCCTACATAGAGTTTCTACCTCTGAATCACTACATGAAGAAAAGCCACAGAACAACATGCATCCTAATAACTAACAGCAATGCAGGAATTCACATGAAGAACTTTCTTGTAAATGGGCTTTTCTCTGTTCACAATTTGTCCTGAGCTCAATAGGAGCTGTTTATTTTACCTGCAAGCACACAATGTCTAACAAATAGTTTTTAATGGTGCCAGCTGATGCCCTGATATCAGATTATATAATTTACATGAGGTAAATAATCTTTCAAAAGTGATAATATACATGAGAATATTTTACAACCTTATACCTTGCTGCTGTTCATTTAACTGCTTGCCAGTGAGAAAGAAAACAATTGAAACATCTATGTCTGGTATTCAATGAACTTCTTGCATACCAGTATGAACCTGACCACAATTTACCTATTTCATATGGTCATGAAAGCTTTAAAATATGCATCAAGACCCCCACCTACTAGGAGTTTCCTGCTCAGTTTAACGAAGAAATTCTATTTCTACTGAAATCAATGGAGAAACTCAGACCTGTTCTTTGGAACTTCCTCCTTTTGCAAAACTGGTTGTTTTCCATGGCTTCAAAATTTCCATAAATTTTACATAAAGAAGAGCTTTATGTGCACAGTGGAGAGTCCAAACAGCTTTGGATCATAGACCATTCATTTATGAGCCCAAATTATTTCACCATAATCCACCCCCCAAGTGTGCTTAGAATGGCAGCTTTGAAATTTTTTTATTCCACTATGTTGAGCTTGCATTCATGAATCTAGTAGTATATGTAAATTGAAAGTTGTATGTTGAACATGCAATGTTATTTGCATACCTTGTTGAGTCATTGTGTAAACTGCCTTTGAAGTACCATCACATGGAACTGATTCTAATTCTCACATGCAACCTACACTTGATGCTTCCGTCACCAACTACCAAATATGCACGTGTGAACTCATGCTTAGGCTTTTGTCTTAAGCCCATTTATATGGAAGGCAATTCTGTGAAGTCAGTCTGTGAAACACTAAAAAAAAAATAAATTTGGCTAAAGAAGAAACTTAATATTTTCTTGACTTACAACTACATCTCATTAGATAGAAAGGAGGGGAAAACTCAATTAAATTTCCTTTGAAATGTGTCTGAAACATATTGAGGTACATACACTAACCAGCAAGCACTCTCTCTAGCACATATTCACTTTATTTAATAAACTTTACATTTCACTTGGCTATAGTGAAACCGCTATGTGGTTTACAAGAAATATTGTAATTATCAACAAAAACTGTTTATATTAAACATGTCAACATGTCTGGGTAGGCTTGCCTGAACAAAAATGTTTTAAGCAGGCACTGAAACGTGTACAGCAAAGGTGCCTATGCAATGTCAAAATGCAAGGAATTGAGTTGCCATTGTGCAATATCTGTTGCAGAACAAATCCTTAAAGAAATGATTTGTGTTTCTAAAGCAGAATGAAATCTACTTTGTGGCAAAGGAATTAAAACTGCCTGGAGAGAACACATAATAAATCTGATTCAAACCAGCTCTACCAAGAGACTTGTATCATTCTGTTGCTCTGAACATGTTGTTCTGTACCTACAGACCTCCCTGCCTTTGAGTGTAATGAACACTCTAAACTGGACGAATCTGAGTACAGTGGTACCTTGGTTGTCAAATGGCTTGGCTCCTGAACAAATCAGCTCGCGAACCCTGCAAACATGGAAGTGAGTGTTCCGGTTTGCGAACGTTTTTTGGAAGCCAAATGTCTGACGTGACTTCTGCAGCTTCCAATTGAGTGCAGGAAGCTCCTGCAGCCAATCGGAAGACTCCCGGAACAGATTAAGTTCAACAACCTAGGTACTACTGTACCTCTCCTCTCTCATAGCTTCAGAGAAGTGTTCAGAAACTTCTGTTTCATTTTGAATTGACTGTAGATTTCTGTCTCACTCAACCCTGGACAAATGGTAGTTAATTTCAACAATGATGAAATGAAACAAGCCACAGTTTATGAAGTTGGCTTGTTTTGTATAACCATACTATATTCAAGATTACAGTTAGGGTTCAGATAACAGAATAAAACTATGGTGAACCAGAAGTGGGATTTTACAGTCTCCTCCTTGTAGGCCACACCAGAGGAGAGGGGAGGAAGTTCATGCATGACTCAGGTTTGCAAAGGCTCATTCTCACAATGCTAAACCAGGGCAGATCCATACCATACATGTAAAGTGAATTAAACATTCATTTAAAGCATATGGCTTCCCCCAAAGGATCATGGAAATTGTAGTTTGTTAAGAGCACTGAAAGTTGTAGCTCTGTAAAGGGGAAACCACGGTTCCCAAGATTCTTCAGGAAAGTCATGCGCTCTAAAGGTATGGTGTGAATCTACTTCAAGACACACAAATAAGCCATGGAATTCCATGACACTACTACTACCCTGAAGGACAGAAGAAATAAATAAATCACGTAAAACTTGTTTCTTTGTGGAAATAACCACATCCTTCTTTAGAATGAAAACTTGTTTGCTGAGCCACATTTGAACCCAACTTTGGTTTGGTTTGTACTTTGGTTCCCCTTGTTAGTGACAAAGACTTGCATAATTAAAGTCTTTCCTCAGGCCAAAACATGAGGTGAGAGGCTTTCAAATAGATCATCCCAGCAGAAGTTCTGTCATTTGGATATGGTTTAAGTGCCCTCGGTTTCTCCAATTTCTGATTTAGTCACTGTATCTCTTTGCTTGATATTTGTTCCTGTTCCTCATTTGGTTTTCAACTTCCTGATTCAGAGCAAATCTCTTAATATCCTCTCCTAGTTCAACATACTGTTTGGAGTCTTGTGCACAGAGAAGCACTGCTGAAGCAACAGAGGTATCCACTAATGCAAGAAGAGGGGAGGTGATTTTTGCTGATGCCTCTTCTTCTGCACAATTTAAATTTTTGTGTGTTTCAAAATTCTTGATATATGCAAGCTACTTTAAAATAAACAAAATGGTGGTATATAACACCAGCGAAATTAGCTAAAATGTATAAAACAGATAATAAATGCTAGAAATGTAAAGAAAAAGAGGGTACCTTTTACCATATGTGGTGAGAATGCAAGAAAGTGAAGGACTTCTAGGAAATGATTTATAATGAGATTAAAAAATGTTGAAATACACATTTGTTTAAAAACCAGAAGCCCTTCTGTTGGGTATGGTGGATACAGAAATTCATAAGAATGATAAAAAAATGTTTTTATGTGATAACTGTAGCAAGGATACTATTAGCCCAAAGATGGAAAGAAGAGTGGCAAGAGAGATGGCGAGACTAACAGGGGAAATTCAGGACCAGACTTTCCTAAAGGAATGGAATAAGTTTTTGATATATTTGCAAAGCAATTGTAATCAATTGACATCGTTTGTAGGGTTAAAAGAAGTTTTGTAAGGAGTAATTTATAAATTATTGTGAAAAGAATTAAGAATAGATGTATTGGAAATTTGAGTTTATAGCAATAATTATAGTAACAAATTGCATAATTAGAAAGGCTTTAGAAAACCATTAGTCGAGGTTGAAGGAAGTCTTAGGCTGTGATAGCTAAAAACTTTGAAATGATGTTTAAAAGGATGTTATGCTGTGTAAAAACCAATAAAAAAGTAAACAAAACAAAACAAACAAAATGAATTTGAAAATTCTATCTGAGATAATCTTGGGGACCAAGCAGAATAAAAATGAGACAATGAGTTACTGTATCTAATGCAATACAGTTTTGAAACTTTCAAAAGTGTAAATCCATAGATCCTTGTAGCAAATGTTTAATCTTTCACTCTTATTATAGTTTCGGGTTACACTCAAAATAAAGTAAGAGCTGGCTGCTGACTGCTGGCTTTACTGTGGCCTTGCAAAGGTCTTTTTTCTTCTTCTAAGTATCCATTTTCAGTTTGTAATTGTCAGCACAATACATGTCAGGCTTGCTCCAAAGATGCTAAGTCTGGTCTTTCACATATCCTAACTTATAGTTAAGAAGAAGTCTTTG